GAAAGTTCAAAAATTAAAAATTTAATATGTTCAAAATGATTTTTTAACATCCCACTATCCGACATTATATTTATATGAAATTATTTTAATATGAGAAGTGTCTAGAATAAGAATTAAAGCCCAATTTCATAACAACAACCTAAACTAAACCTTGATGTTCACTGTAGAATAAAGTCCACTTAAATGTCACACTTCTTCTTCTTCTTCTTTGAGTACCATGTCTTGGACGAAGGTTGGTAATCATCATGGATATTCTGACCTTCAAGGCAACTGCTCTGAACAATTGCCTGAGCTGCAACCAACCACTATCTCAGGTTCTTCAACCAGGAAACGCGTCTTCTTCATACGCTTCTCCTACCCTCTATTTTTCCTTGAATTATTAGTCTCGAGATGTTGAATCTTTCGCCACTCATTACATGTCCGAGATATTGCAATTTTCTTTCATTTATTATATTTTCCATTTCCGTCTCTCTGTCTATTCTCCTTAACACTTCTGAATTCTCTATCTACCCATGGAATCCTTAACAATCATCTAAATGTCCACATTTCAAACGCGTTTAGTCGATTTATTGTATTCCGGTTTAATGTGCATGACTCAGCTCCGTAGTAAAGTACACTCTGTACATAGAATTAGCCTTATTCTGAGGTCCAATGTCAGATCTTTGCTGCATAAAATCTTTTTCATTTTCCCGAAGTTGGCACATGCTTTTTCAATTCTGACTCTTATCTCTGCAGTATAATCGTTATTTTCTGTGATTATCGTTCCCAAGTAAGTTTATCTTTTTACTCTCTTAATCTGCTGGCCGCCTACTGTTAATATTTCATTTGTATTGTTGTTCTTACTAATTTTCATGAATTTGGTTTGTTTGATGTTAAGAGAGAGTCCGTATTCTCCACTATACCTTAATATTTTGTTCATTATTCTTTCTAAGTCTTACAAGTTGTCGGCTATTATGACTGTATCGTCGGCATACCTAATGTTGTTAATTAAACTTCCGTTCACTTTTATGCCGACTGTCTCGTTTACCAAAGGTTCTTGTATGATTTCTTCAGAATAATCATTAAACAATAACGGAGAACTAACAAGAACTACAGCATATCATCGGCAATCGGATGGTGTGGTAGAACGGATAAATAGGACAGTTGGTAAGTATTTGACAAAGATGGTGTCCGATCATCAACGAGACTGGGACCAACATCTTTCGTTTTTCACAATGGCTTAAAGATCTTCTGTTAACGAATCAACAAGCTAGACACCAACCAGAGTTCTATTCGGACGCGAGATGTGACTTCTTTGGAATCTAGAGTTTGGGTGTGGACCTGGAGAAGATGTAGTAGGTGAAGATTATGTGATCGAATTACGAAGAAGAATGGACGATGTACACGAGTTGGTCCGTTCCGATCTTGAGATCGCTAGCGACCGAATGAAGAAACGGTACGATACGCAAACCGAAAAGGGGTACTTGAAGAAGAACGACAAAGTCTGGCTCTATAATCCCAAGAAGCGAAAAGGTTGTTCTCCCAAGTTGCAGCAGTTTTGGGAAGGTCGATACCTCATTATGGAGAAGATCAACGATGTCATCTACCGAATAAGCAAGATTCCAACTTAGTACAACATAACCGACTGGCGTCTTTTGATGGTAACCACGACGTAGATGAAGAAGTGGAAGTAAACCAAGTTCAAGATGTGTCTGACCTCACGTTTGAAGAATTCATGGGGGCCTATGGAGGTACCGGTAATGCAAGACATGGTGTTACTACTGAAGAAAAGCAAGATCTAGTCGTGCTTCCCGATGACTACTCACTGGCCCTTACGATCCCGGCCAATATCAACGCACCAGGGTTGACATCCGTCTTTCGAAGGAAGTTCGGTCGAATTGCAGAACTTGAATGCCAAGTGCCAGGTGCCGAGATGCATCAAGTTACCTTTTCTACCTGGTAACAAAAGACACTGCCCGTGACCAACGTACCTACCGAGATGTATGGGAAGCCTTACTTTAATTGAGGGAGCACGTATTAGAGTTCGACGTGCAAAAGTTAGCCATGCCAAAGTTGGAGTATCCGCCAAATAGATTGGAGGGTTATACGAAGTATGGTGGAGGAGGTCTTTAAATACACTGACGTCCAGGTGTTAGTCTGTTGTAATCCGCATACTGGAAGTTGTAAAAGAGGGACCAGTTGTCGATAGGTACCAGCATACTGTTCCAGTTCTAGTCTCGACAAGGTTCCAGAAGGAATAAACTTTTAAGAGGGGGGCAATGTTACGATAAATATGACTCATGCCTAAACTGTAAACATGTTTTTCTAATAAGTATTTTTCTAGTAGGTTCCCCTACGATAAAACCTGTCTGAGTTCCACGTTATTCGAGAAGGGTCAAGAAAGGTCACTCTCTGAATTCTAGGGATCTCCAGATATCGGTTAAGTTTAATTCTAATAAACTAAGTGTTAGAACATTTTATAATAAATAAAATTTATAAATTAGATTAGATTCATAAAAATAGTTCAATACTTTAGTGTTTTTGTGCATTTTACCTCGATTTACATAAAAATATGCAAACAAAAAGTTTACTAATTGCTTTAAATATGCAAAATATGCTCTCTGTATATTTGCCCAAGTCTGTTTATTACACTACGTGTAATAAAGCATAATATTTTAAGGACAACTATTTTCTTTGTTGTTTTGTTTCTCAGGACCAGACTTTTTAATAATAGTCATAATCCCAGTGCACTTTTTTCGTTCCCCTGTTTTGCCTTGGTAACCTTCACATACAAAAAAAACGCAAATAATATACCGATTGGCAGTCACCTCGGTTTCAATAATTTAAAAATTTATGAGTTATACTTTCCACTTAAATGACTAACTTGTTGTGGTCTGAAATCTCCATAGATACCCACGATTAAAAGTGATTTGATATGCATTGCACTGTTAGAATATTCATTTAAGGTTGCCTTTCTGATACGGTGTCCCAAGTTGCATTCGTGAGCACGCTGGGGAATTGCATGGAAAACGAGGGAGTTGTCCCTCTCAATACCAAGTGAGTTGCATTTCTAATCGTTTATTATTTATTGTAATTCTAATATTGTAAATACATTAAAAGTGCATGGAAAACTATTAGAAATTGAATTAAAATTAATTTAAATACATTTTTTGATAATTGTCATATTTTTACACATACTTTTTTTGATCATTCTTTTTTTTTAATTTGATCTTTATTGGAATTTTTTATTTTATTTATGCTCATGTTTTCATGCTCATGAAAGTTTTCCATGCTTGTTCGATTCTTGATAGTATTTCTTTTTTTTGGATTACACTGACTATTGATATTTGCTCCCAAATATATTAAGGAATTTACCTGTTCTATCATTTGACCCTTAGCATACACATGTACGTCTATTGGTGTCTTTGAAAATACTAAAGTTTTAGTTTTGGAAACGTTTGGATGTAAACCGAACATTTTCCTGTGGTGAACTACCGCATTTATTATATTTTGTAGTTCTTGTGCGTTGCTTGTTATTAAAACAGTATCACCAGCATATCTGATGTTGTTTATGCTGATTCTGTTAATCTTAATTCCAGCTTGGACCTGGTCTAATGCTTCTCTGAATATAGACTTCGAATACAAATTAAACAGTAGGGTGAATAAGACGCAACCCTGTCTCACTCCTCGTCGGATTTGTATATCTTCGGATGTTGTGTGCTCTATTTCAATTGTTGTCGTTTGGTGCTAGTATAGTTCTGAGATAATTCGCAAGTCTTGTTCGTCAACTCCAGTTGTTCTCAGAATTTCGATCATCTTTTGATGGTGAACACAGTCAAATGCTTTTCGATAGTCAATAAGAACATGCATATACATCTACATTCATGTCTCTGCATCGTTGTGTTAACACATTTAAAGCAAACAGAGCCTCTCGTGTTCCCAATCCGTTTCGAAATCAGAATTGAGTGTCACTCATCTGAAACTCGCACTTCTTGTAAATTCGTGTATGGATAATTCTGAGAAAAGTTTTAAGGACATGAGACATCAAGCTTAATATTCGATAATCATAGCATTGTGAGGAATTCGATCTTTTTGGTAATGCTACGAATGTTGATTTTAGCCAGTCTGTTAGTATTTTACCTGTGTCATATATCTTATTGATTAATGCTGTAGGCTGTTACTTTCGATATCTGCAATTAAGATCTTCTTTGGTTATTTCTGGCCTTTTATATTTATTCGATTATCTGTGAATGGTGGAAAACAAGGTCTATCGTCGTCAAAAAGAGTTTGTATGCATTCTTTCCATCTCTCTAGTTTGTCTTCTGTACCCATAATTATTTCGTTATTATCATTTTTTAATATTATTGCTTGTCTCTTTTTGTGTCTACCTGTTATTTCTTTTAAAATCCACTAGGAAACTAAGTTCCTGTAGCTGGCTGTATACCATATATCACAAAATTTTTTATTTCAAATCCTTTATAAAAGGATATATCTATAATAAACGCGGAGTATCCACATGTGCTATATGAGCCACCAAAATATATGGATCAAAACCCGTTAAATGTTATAAATTTTAAAGTTGTTTTACATTATATATAATTACAAATTAGGATGTTTAAGTTACCGTTGGAATTGGTAACATGCGACGTATGACACTACATAGCTAATATGGTCCTGAGACAAAGTGTCTTCGAGGATCCTGTTGATAACAACAATTTCTTTTACTTTTTTTATAAATATTAAAGGTGTCGTATTTTTCCTGAAGTTGTTCGATTTCTAGGCATTTTGTTGACATCCAGTTTTCTTTCGCCTCCCTGCACATTTTTTCTAATGATTTTTCTCTTTTTCCTCTTATATCTTCAATATTAGCCTCCTAAATTGTTTAAATTTAAATAAAAATTATACCTATCATAGATTTTTGTTCGATTTCGTACTTTATAATAAAAATTAATAATTATTAAGAGACATAAAGGATTTCTGTGATTGTACAATTTTTTACTTTTAGAACATTCGATCCAAAAATGGCACAGAGTATTGATATTTATTATTTCACTATGAGCCCACCGTCTCGATCTGTTTTGATGCTGATGAGAACTTTGGGCATCAAACCTAACATAAAAATTGTTAACGTACTTAACGGAGAACAAATGAAACCTGAGTTTCTTAAGGTAATCAAAAATATTAGTATATTTAGGACTCTTGTTTCTGTAATTTTTAATTCTCTTACAGATAATGATATTTTACACCTTTATTTTTTATATTGGCACAAATATACTTACATCTAGAACGCATAACAGTCTCTAATAATAAATTGTTAGTTGCACATCTAATTCGTATAATTTTTAGAGGTTCAATGGCATTTTGGCTCTGACGACTAGATTGTAAATATAATAATCATAATTTTACAGTTAACGTCTGAAAACTCTCAAATGAATCAATCGTTATTAATCGTTACTAACTAAATTGTCTATTTTAGATAAATCCTTTACATACTATTCCCACAATCAACGACAATGGCTTTATTTTGTATGAAAGGTAAGTGTACATTTATATACCGCTCCTCCTTCTCATTCCTTAAGCCCTTGACTTCCGCTTCTCACAAATCCACTCGTCTCTCCAAAAATCCAATATTGCAACCACAACTACAACATTCACAAGCCGAGCTCTGTTCTTTCTCATTTCAAACTCCCGGTAAGAGAAGAGCCATACCTTAAAGAACATTTTCGATTCGAGGCAATCGCTCTCTTAGTTCTTTGATCTCTACGAGCCTTCTGCCTAGCCAGGCACCGCCCAATATTAGGTTTCTATACCCTGGGGGGCTTCATTTTGGGGCTCCGCTCTTCATCTAACACTTTATTGGGCTGTGCTTCCAAACAGGAAGTCTCTTATGCTGAACCGACTTTGTCTACAACAAGTTGAGTTTCATTATTATCAAACCCTTTCTTACCGAAGTAGTATGGAATGGGAATGAATAATGGCTTGGTACCGGGCCTTCACATTATGAGAACGGTGAATACAAAATAAATTGAAATGGACTTAAAAATTGAAATATGGAATGTAAATAAAAGAAGTAATATAAATAGACAATGGAAATATGGATTATCAAAAGAGTGTGACTTAATGTCAAACGTTTATACATCGGAAATGAACCAAAATGTTATCCGATTCTTCCGATAATGTACTTAAAGCAAAGAAAACGGCATCTTAGCTGTTCGAAATCTTCTGTAAAGCATCCTTGAGAATGGAAGAAGCTATTTTAGTCAAATAGATGATAATCCATTCAATATTTGAAATATCTATTTTCAATAACACCAGTGTGCAAATATGAAAAGAAATCGTTTTTGTTTTAAATTAGTATTGTTATGTGCACCTAATTAAGGTCTTGTACTTCACGAAAGAGTGATGTTACTGCAAGTAAAAAGCCAAGCCTATTAATATAAACACCATCCAAGTCTATGCTCCCACTACAGACAAAGAGGAGGAAGAAGCAATTGAGTTCTATCAGAACATCAACAATATTATACAGAAAAATTCCTATACAGGCAGTTCTCATCATTATGGGCGATTTTAATGCCAAGATTGTAGCTGGAGATAAAACACAGTACATTGCAGCACATGGACTTGGAGTCAGAAACGACAGAGGAGACCTCCTAGAAAAATTCGCAGAAGACTCATCTTGGCTCAACATCTTGGTTAAAGAACCTCAGAATTTTGGTTCAATACAACATCTGTGCAGCTTTTCCTCGCTGCTGCAGATAAGATAAAGATTGCCATGATGATCGCCAATATTCGTAACGGATAGGCACATCAAGAAGAAGAGAGACTGAAGAGAAACTCTTTTCTTTCGCGAAAATTCCAGTCAGCAGTTCTTGACTTTCAGTATAATAGACACGCAAAATCTAGAAATCTGAATCTGTGAATAGTGATCTGAAGTTAGTTTTTATGTGATTACCAAAGTGTTTATTTTGTAAAGTAATATCCGATCATTTATTATTAATCAGATATTTGATATTTAGTTATTTAGTTAATATTAGTGAGTTTTTTACCTATTTATTATAAACTACGTGTACTTGTCTTAATCCACAGAAGAACGTACCACTATTTTATAGAAAAAAATTTCCGTTTCCTTTCGTTTCTCCGTCATAAATATGTATAAAGATCCACCCTTCCCTTCTTCACGTTTCATAGTCTTATATAAGTATTACAAAATTGATTTTTACCAAAAGTTCTGTTTAAACCAATCCAATACACCTAAAAGAACACGTCATGATATACTTTATTATTAATATACCGAGCACTTTTATCCTGTAATAGTGGAAAGTGTTTAAAACTTGTTCCTGATGTATTATTATTATAAATCGAATACTAGACTGTTGTTAATTATAGCCTGTATTTTTCAGTTCTGCTATATTGAAATATTTAGTAGATCAATACGGAAAAGATGATAGTTTGTATCCAAGAGACAATAAAAAGGGGGCGATCGTTACTCAACAGTTAAGTTTTGCAAATACCACATTATTCCCCAGATTTATATCGACACACGTAAGTTTTACGAACATATTTTAACACTTAATATATCATTTGCTAGATAGAGTAAATAAACTTTGTTCAAGGAGCTCTTTAGAAAAAAAAAAAATATTTTTTAAAAAAGAAATCTATTAAAGCAATTCTTGTTAGGTGAAAGTAAAGTCAGATGACTAACTTGTTTCCTCGTGATTTACTATGAAATCACTAATAGGTTAATTTTACTGTCGTCATTGCATATGGTTGTCTTTTTAAAGAAGAATCACATGCTATGATGTTTCTGACGGATATTCTCAAGTTAAAGTTGATTTCATGTAATCGAATGAACTATCTTACAATAAAGTCGTCCAAGGAACGCAACTCAGCAATATTGACAATATCATTTTAAAAGTCGTCTATTTTAAAATGTATAATATATGTCTGAATTGTCAATATGAATAAGTCAGATAAAATTAAATAGTTAGACGAATTTTTCACCAAGTACCAAAAAAACAAAATTTAATTAATTTATTAAATTTTGTAAATTTAATTAATTAAAATTTTGTAAATTACAATTTTGTAATTTTGTAAATTAAAAAACACAATTTAAATAATTAATTTATTAATAGAATAAAATAGAATAGAAATATTATGCTTTATTGTGGCTGAGAGTTGTACGATTTTATGGACAAAGCTTACAAAAAGTCAAACAAATAAAGCTAGTTTACGAATAAGTTTAAGTAAAGCAAACAGTTTCTAGAATATATAATTCATTAATAGAGAGGGAAGAGTTCAAATCCCGTGATTTTTTAAGTAGCTTTTGCAATGTGTTATTCTACTGAGACCAAAAAGATACCATATTGCTCTTTTTTGGACATTTCTATTTAACAAAGAAAAATTTGTTATTTTTTAAGATGCTAAATTAATTTCCTTCGAAACATATCTTATTGCATAGCAGGCTGAGGCTAATGAGGCATAAAAATACCAAGAAATTTTACATAATCAACGATACTGATCTGGCTGTTATTAAGAAGCAAGGGTTGAAGAGCTCCTTTATAGGATAATGCTACTGTATTATCCACATTAAAAGAGAGTAAACTATATTCGGATCAGGTTTTTATTTTGAGTAAATCAGAAGTTATAATTGCATGAAGAGTTTCAATATTAGAGTTCCACCAGGTAATACTGGTATCATCAGCAAAAAGAAAAAAATTTCCATCGATTTGTAAGTTAGTGATGTCATTTATAAAGTATAAGGAAAAGTAGAGGACCCAGTATTGAACCTTGTGGTACTCTACATGCAATGCTTTTATGACTAGAGTTAGTATCATTTTCTCTAACTAGTTGTTTCCTATTCTTTAAGTAAGATTGGAACCATTTCAAAGAAATACCTCGAATTCCGTAGAAATTTAGTTTTTTTTATCAAAATGTAATGATTTACACAATCAAAAGCTTTTGCATAGTCACAAAAAACAGTGGCAGTATAAAGATTATTGTTTAGTGCTTGATAGACCTCATGTAGTACAGAAAACATAGCATCTCTGGTACATTTATTGGATAAAAAGCCGAACTGACTTTGCGATAAAATGTTGAAAAGAAAGGACATAAGTCGGGCTCTTATAAGTCTCTCAGCTATTTGAGTCAGATGAAGGTGTTGGTTCGGAATATAATAAATCTGTAGACTATTTAATATTTACACCAGGTGACCAAATTTCCTTATTAAATAATAAGGAAATAGAGGTTTGAGATTTTATGCCTCTTTTGAATGAGGAACCACTCGCTGTGTCGGCATCTTGCAGGAGGGCACAAGATCTAATAGATTCCTTGATACCCAGCTTCTCTTTAATAAAGTGAATAACTTTTATAAGAGGGTAAATTGGGGTTAAGTTGGTAATAAACTATCTAATCTATCTGTAGTTTTTGGAGTTTTCTCTGTTGATTCGAAATGTTGAGGGACTTCAGTTTGGGTACCTGAGGTGGCATAAAATGTATTTTTCTTCAATACTTCTTTTTTCGTTTTTGTAGTAGATAATTTGTTGACTAGATTACCCATTCGATCAGATATTTCACTAATATTTGAATGGCGTGTCGTCAAAAATAAACTTATTTTAAACGTAAATTGTGGCTTAATTCCAATAAAAATAAGAGATCTCCCAATAAGAATGTCCTGAAGTTTTCTTTTAACGAAAACGGTAAAAATTGCTGTAAATCAAAAAAAAAATTATTGTAAAATATAATAGATAACAATTATGTTCCGAATAACAGATCATTTAAATGTCCACCGCGACTACGTTTGCAGCAGCAAATCCGATGAACCCAATTTTCGGTCACTTTATGCAAAATATTTGCATTAATCTCACGAATGGTGTGCTTTATGTTACTCTTCTAGTCTTCAATAGATTTTGGTTTGTTCCCATAGACAATGACTTAACATAGACCATAAAAAATAATCTAACGGTGTCAAATCGCAGCGTCTTGGAGGCCAAGCATCTGGTCGAAGTTGCTGAACTCTCCTGGGATCTCTGGCATCAAGAGAAATCAATGTTTCCGGGTACTTTTCCTTCAATAAATCAATGGTTGGGGCAGTAGTGTGACATATGTTACCGTCCTGTTGGAAAAAACATGCCATACAAATCAATTTCATCCAACTGAGGCCACAAAAAATCCGTTCATCATCATCCTTTCACCGTTGACTGTTACATGTTCAAAAAATAAGGTCCGATTATGCCACCATGCTATAAACCACACCAGACAGTGACTTTTTCTGGATGCAAAGGCTTCTCAAGAATCTCATGTGGATTATTTTCACTCCAAAAACGACAATTTTGCTTATTCACAAAGCCGTTTAACCAAAAATGAGCTTCATCGGAAAAGATTATTTTTTGAAAAAATCGCCATCATTTTCGAGTTTGTGTAGAGCCCAATCAGCGAACAAACGACGCTTATGATGGTCAAGTGGCTTCAGTTCTTGAATCAGAACAATCTTGTAAAGGTGTAGGCCTAAATCTTTTCTCAGAATTCGCCAAGTTGTCATTCTGGTGAGTCCAAGTTCTTGAGATCAACGATTTACAGACACATTTGCAATTTCTGCTACACTGGCTCTTACAGCAGCAATTGTCCTGAGTTATTGCATTTCGGCGTCTAGTTGGTGGTTTCGTATCGTGCAGAGTAAATTCACGTTTAAACTTTTCCACGATTTGACGAATTACACGCACATCAGGACGATGATTTAATCCATAACTTTCACGTAATGCACGATAGGTATTCACAAAAGAACGATTATTAGCATAAAATTTTAGGATAATTTTCAAACGTTGTTTAACGTATATCTTGCCAGGGTTATTTGTTAGAGTATACTAAATACAAAAGTCAACAAGTGACAGTTCTACCCATTTTCAAAATGGTTGCTATGACATTTCAAAAACAGGACGTCCCTATTGGTAAACCCTTTAGTAACTGCATTAATATGCCACAATAAAATAGCTTCAGAATAATATTCTTTTTAATATTACAGATAGCTCTTTTATTTGGTGGATCAGTATCAGAGGACGACAAGAAAAAATTAAATGACGCCTTTGATTACCTTAACAATACTCTCAGCGATTCTAAATGGACGGCAGGTGAAAATATGACGGTAGCCGACTTTGCTATAATAGGAATTTTGTCTAACATTGAGGTAAGAACCATTTCCCGATGGTATGTCACAAAAATCGGAACTTAACATTGCACATTTTAAATAAATACTGTTGTTTAGGCTGCTGGTGTATACGACTTGACCTCATTCACCAATTTGTGGCAGTGGTACGAAAGAATGAAAACGTCCTTGTCGAGTTATGGATATGAAGATATTATGCAAGCTGGTGCCGATGCTTTTGGACACATGATAAAAAACAAAATAAACTCTTAGATCTGTTTAGCTTTTCTGTATTTCTATCACATTGTCTATACATCTATTCACAAATATTTATTATTTTAAAAGATTTGAACGATCATTATAAACTGAAATAATTGTAATAATGTTAATAAAATTTTATCACTTTTTTCGTGTTTAATTTATCTTCCATTTTTGTATAATGGTTTGTCTGTAGGATATCTATGGTAATCTGGTTTACAAATTCCTCAGTCTGTGTTCGTATTAAATAATATTTTTTTCAGCTGTTGTAAACTATAATAAACAAGCCTTTTTTTCAATAGTTAAATTGCACTTAAGACCTTCATAATTCGTCTGCAAAATCTTTATAACACAATAAAACAGTTCACTAAATTTCATTAAAATCGATTTAATAGATTTCATATAATAATTTTGTAATCTAAATTTTGAATGTATTTTAAATCTTGCACATCAAAAACTAGACTTGGAATTGAAATCGGATTATTTGGACATGTCTTAAAGAATTTCTCCTCTCTTTCTAATGGACCTTAATTGTTATATAGAGGTCATCGTATGTGCAGAAAGCAACAAGTTTAAGAAATATGAAAATCAGAAACAGGAAAAAGGCAATAAGAGATACAAAATAAAGTAAATGATGATGTCCTACATAAAAAATTATTTCTAGTGAAAATCTTGTATGAATGATGTCGGTATTATCTGGAATATATATAAGGTTCTTGAACTCCTAAGTGGAGCATAGAGATTCAGTGAAAAACGCGCCATCGGGTTCTATTTTGCGCTAAGGCCTTCACCGCATTCCAAGACTTTCCTTGGCCTCTTATCTCGTCCATATGGATCTTCTCCAAGTTTGTACTGGGCGACTTCAACCGATTGTTTCCATTATTACCCTCACAGTATTTATGTGGTCTATGCAGGAGGATTCTGGTCTAAAGCTTGCTTGATTAGCTCGAAACTTAACCTTGTTTGTTAATCTTTCAGTATGATGGTCGTGAAAATTTTATTTATGACAGTAAGCAAGTTTATTCCTCTCCAATTTTTACACAGTGTGAGGTTGCCTTTGCCGTTATTATCTGGAAAAGCTGTTAATTAGATGAACGTAATGTTTGAAAAGTAAGGAAACAGATTTAAATGTAATTTAATACAAATCAAATCAAGATAAAAATAGCCTATAGAATTGAACAGCAATATAATCAAATTCTCTACTTTATCAGAAATTTCCTCATATCTGTTGTCTAATTTGTTCTATTTCTAGGTAGATACGGCTTTAATTATAATGTTATTATTACTGAACTGCTTCCAATAACCGAAATGACTATTTAACGACTTTTACTTATTTATGCGATTAAATACAAATTAAATAAAAACACTGGAATCTTACCCAAATTCGAAATAAACCAAATAATATAATCATCTTTGTGGCCCGACTATTCTTTCGATCGAACACTAAAAAAATATATTAATAAATATTCAAAAATTTGAAAATTGTCGCAAGTAACTGAAAGTATGAGGTTTTTTATTAAATTTTTGAACAATTTCAGTGTCGTGGAATTATTGGGTATGTTCGCCGAAGGCGCATTTAAATCCACAGATGAAATTAAGATGGTGGATTATACCATTAATTATAAAATTGTTTTTGACAACGAGTATGTCGAAGATAATAATTTGAGAATTTATAAACATCTACAGAGAGTTGTTGAGTTAGTGAGGAAAAAGTACAGTGATGTAGATAGGGGTATAGAACTAGAAGAAAAATTTAGGTATGTATTTAGTCATTTTAACGTCCTTAATTATGATTTCGTCATTTTTATAATATTCTTATTGAAGGTAGTCCTGCTTTATTAACATAGGTTACTGCTGCGACTGCTTTCAAAAAAGTAGATGCACTCTCATATTTCACATACAATACAAATTTTTATACTTCAATTCTTTTCTATATATACATCGGTTTAGAACGTCTTTCGACGTTGTCCGATACCTAAACACCATCTCTTCCTATCTTCGCAGTCGTTTATTGTTAAATTTCTTTCACTCATGGACTTGTTTACGCCGTGTTGCCATTCTAATCTGGGTCTTTCTCTTTTCCGTCGACCTATCGGTTGCCATTCTAATACTTCTTTGGGGAGTCTTGTTGCTGGCATTCGTTGAACATGCCCATTACCACCTTAATTGTTTCTTCTCTATATCTTTGAGTTATATTTCCTTCTATTCTCATACGTTGTTTTATTACATCATTTCTGATTCGGTCTCATCTGGAAATACCTAAAGATCTTCTCATTGCATCCATCTCTACTGCTTCTATTCGCTTTTTGTTCTTTTCACTAATTCTCCATGTTTCAACGACATAAAGAAGAGTAGTTTTAATCATGGTCTCATATATATGTTAAATTTTCTTCCTTTCGTTATATTTTTGCTCCACAGTATACCATTGAGACATCCTAAGATTTTCTTTGCTTGTGTGATTCGTTTTTCTATTTCCCGTGTATCAGTTCCTGTATTGTCAAAGGCAACACCCAAGTAGTCATAGCTCTGACAGCAGGAAATATGTTGTTCATTTTCGAGGTCTATATTATCTGACTCATTTCCAATACAAAGATATTTGGTTTTTGTTGTATTGATATTCATTCCCCAGTCGTTATATTCTTCTATCAGTTTTCTAAGCATGTACTGCATGTCTTCTCTATCAGTCGCTAGTACTACCTGGTCATCAGCAAACTGGAGTGTATATATACATTCATTGCTAAGCTCTATACCCATCCTATGCACCTTTATTTTCCATCTTTCCAATGCTGCTGCAATATATATCTTGAATAAGGTTGGTGAGATACAGCATCCCTGTCGCAAGCCTTTTGTAACCAGGAATTCTTCCGTTAGATATTTTCCTGTTTTTATCTGTGCCTTTGAGTCTCTATATAGTTCTTGTACAGCATTTATCAATGTGTGGTTGATGTTAGATCTGTGACGTTGTCCACACTTTTGTTAAGGGGATGTTGTCATATGCTTTTTGAAGGTCTACAAAAGTAATATGAGTTTCTAGATTCCTAGCCGATCTTTTTTCTATTATTTGTTTAAGACAAAATACGTTATCGGTCCACGATCTTCCTGCATGGAACCCGCTTTGTTCTTCCGCTTCATTGTGCTTATATTCTTCTCATCCTATTTCTCAAATTCGTCCATACAGTCTACTCAGGGTGCTGGTTACCGTATATGCCTCTATAATTATTACAATTCCTTTTGTCCCCCTTTTTGTGTATTTACGACATGTATGCCGTTCTCCATTGTTCTGGTACTGGGTGTCCATTTAAACACTGATTGATCACATAAGTTAAGTTTTCAAATAGTTTATGAGTTAAATTCTTAAGCATTTCAGCATAGATTCCCTCAGGTCCAGCGGATTTACCATTCTTTAGGATCATTACAGCCTTCCTTACTGTTTCGATGCCTACCCTCGCTTCTCTCCTTGTATATATACTGACTGTGTTGGGAGTTCGCTAGGTATTCTTGTCTTGTCTCTGTCAGCAAGCTTTCATAGTGATCTTTCCATTGTCTTGGTTTTATGGTGTGTATGTGTGCTTTGTCTTTTCCTGTATTTTTTTACGTATAAAATTCCATACTTCTGTACATTGCTTCCCTCCGATGTATATATTGATTTCTTGACATTTCTGATCTCATGTTTTATTCTTTTCTTGTTTTATCATTTTTCGTAGTTGTCTATCGTTTTCTTTGTAAGCTTGTTTGTTTTGCTGTGTCCCGAGTGTCTCCTTAGAGGCCTGGTGTAAACTAGCAATAATATTCTCGTAAATATCTAAAAATGTTTATCTTTCTCTTTCTAGTAGTTTTTCATCCAGTAGTTTTTCGTTTTTTTCGTCGTTGGTATACTAGCTGTTTAGTACTATCATTAGTACTATAATTCTTTTATACCGAAGCTAAAGTTTCATTATTTTCTGTATTTGATTTATCTTATTCTGCTGGTAATCATATTAAAATATTTATAGTCCAAGGTTTTCACCTCGCATTGTTTTCAGAAAAGATTGATATACTTGAAAATTTGAGAATAAGTAGTGGATAGTCTAAGGATCAATGTTGACCAATTCTCGCTCTTTATGGATAGTCTCTAGTACACTTTCGTTAGATATGTGTGCAGTCCACAGGATTCTGAATATACGACGGTAACATCACAACTTGAACTTCTGGTCGAAATTTCCTTGTTCCTTGTCACTTTCAACCCACAGCCAATCGAAGTACCCAGATATCTAAAGTGTTCCATCCTTTCCAGGATTTTGAGTCTTTGATATTAATGTTGTCCTACCACCATCCACTTTGTTTTAAAGGTATTCTAGGTAGCGTTTCTTCGTTAAATCTTTGTGTAACTCCAGCCAAAGGTATGTTGCCTACTCTGGCGTTTAGGTCGCCGAGAATTATTGTTTTACTACCGGCTATTTTGGTGTCCAGTAGATCTTGGATGAATTCTAGGTATCTGATGTTATTAATTTCACTACCAATTTTAACACTTTTGCGACGATTATTTAACGCTATCTCAAAAACTGGTTCAGTGTAATCATTAAACAACATCGGTGATATAACACATCTCTGTCTGACACCACGCTCAATAAAAACTTTATCTGTCTTATGTTAAGCTTAGTTTCTTGGACTATTAGTTGATGAAGAAAAAAGTTGACAAAGAATTATAATTTATGCTAAGAGAAAAAATGAAAATTTCAGAAAAAAACCCAAAAAACAAATAAAGTAAAATAATCTTCGCTCCCAATTTTTTTCTGCTACATTCTTTGTAACGATCCTTTTAGAAACAATCCCTATTTGAGTTCATAATATCTTTTTCTAATGGTTTGAGCCTGAAACATATCTAGAAGATCATTTTAACTTTTGTATGTGTATATTGCTCAGTAATTTCGTCTTTTTGGACAGGACTGGCTCAACGTACGAATATGTCGTCTTCTTACATATAAAAACTGTTTCCAAATGAAAAATTATGCCTCAAAGTAGTAATATTAAGAAATAAAGATAATATTTGCATCACATAAGTATCCTAGCCGGAATAGACAGACCAAAGATAGCAATATGGATCAAATTAATAATTTATTAAAAAACTATTTTTGCAGATGTTTCTCCACCGATATTGTTCATTTTAATTATTTTATTAAATTTGGAGAAAATGAAAGGGAAGTGAAGCAATTGAATATTATAGAACGAAGAATAATTTTTGCTTTTAAACGCAAACATGAAAGTATTTACAGTCTTAAGATGGTTAAAAGTGAGTATTTTAGTAATTGGTTTTCTTATAGAAGGTACATTATTGTCTTTCAGAAAATCCACATCATAAAAAACTTAAAACACCTTCTTTTTTAACACATTATCAAATTTTAATAACCCAATACTTTTTTAGAACGCACTCGGAGAACTGATTACATACGTGCTCAGAGAATTTGAAGAAACTGATCGTGTTGGTATAGTGATAAAGCACGAATCACAACGAGACCGCAAAGCAACCTTTCCGATTCGTCTCAAAACGGAACTTGAAGCGGCTATTATCTTAGACACCCTCAACAATGTTATTAAAATCAACGGTTGTTTCGCCGCAGAAGAGAGAATGACATTACAGGTAGTTAGAATAAAACTACCAGGTCCTTCTAAACAAATCAGACCTGAATATTTGACCAAGTTTAATTATAATGAGCCGTTTGAATTCTTTTATAATTAATAAAGTATTTACTTGTGGTTTTTTTCTTTAATTACTCCTTCACTCCTATTTATGATGTAAAAGTTGATACCAATTAAACTACAATAACAAGCTTAATCCCATATATATCATTACCAATAACTATTGTACATCGACTTATATTCAAAGCCGATTCTGGATGCTCAAATTGTCAAAAGTTTTCAATTCAATTCTAAGAATCGATTGTTCAATTCCGAATCGATTCCTATGCTTAAATAAATTGATTTTGATGTTTATTTTGTTGGGAAAAATCTTAAATACAAAGTAAATACTTTAGTTAAGGTTTCCAACATATATGTTTTTAATTAAAGTTATCTAAAGATCACTTTTTGAATTAAAAAAACTTTTGATATTTGACATATCACGTGGTTGACTGAATTTCAGGTTAAGGTTAAGTCACCGTCTCTCCAATCCTAATCGAAAGTAGTTTGACGTTTAGGAATACAATGTTTTTCCAAAAAAATTGGTTTTCTTGTTAAATAAGTCTAGGCCTGACATAGAACAATGTCCAAAAAGGATAACACTTCCGAAGTTTCCATAAGTATCGATTATGATGATCCTGCTTATAGAATATCTCCATTACAACAGGCAGCAGCCTCATGTACAGGAGCCCTGATTACTTCGTTATTCGGTAATGATTTTACATTTCTCTAAAGATATATCGAATAACAGTGTTAATTTTCCAGAAGGTCAATACATACATTGTTTGTAAATTAATATACTTCCTAAACAATAGCTGAAACATTGTCATTCATTCTTATAAAATAATGTGTCGTCATTAGTTCATAGACTAAAATTTATTTGTACATTTTCAGTGACCCCATTAGATGTTGTAAAAATCCGATTGCAGTCCCAACAAAAGATAGCACAAAGCCAGTCAAAATGTTTTTTGTATTGTAATGGTTTAATGGATCATTTTTGTAGCTGCAGTCCAGATGATCCTAATAGTAGATGGTTGCAACGACCTGGACATTTTAATGGAACAATTGTGAGTATATTTTTATTCTTGAGGATATAAAAGGTTTTAAATTATGATTTTATATACGCCTAATGCTTTTGAACAAATCTATGAAGTAGTGATGGGTGAAATGTATCATTTGAATGTTTCGAATCATTTGAATTAACTCACTGTGATGTTTTCTTTGAAACAATTGACATATTTTACCTCATACTGTAACTTCTTGTGTTTCACATCATAACAATTCATTGTCAGTCGCTGTGTAAAGATACAATATTTTGTGCAGATTCAATTTCTGTAAGGCATGTGACAGCAATGTGATTGTGTTATGAGGATTGTTGAAAGATTAGGGATTTGAGCTTGTTAAGCACAAATTTATTGTTTTAGGTGTAAGTTAGATTTGTTTAGTCTGGTTTTATTTAATTAGGTTTTTTTCCTCTGTAGTATAGATTTTCATTACCATTTTTAAATGAATACTTATCATTATCAGATAAGACACCTACTGACTCGATGTTTCGAGATAGTAAACATTTTAATGTATTGAAACTAGTTCTGTGACCCAATTCATTGCTTCAAAACATCGACTCACTAGCCAAATAACATTGAATATTTTATTCAAATTATAAAAATAATAGAATTTTTCTTTAAATTGTCTCTAGTGTAATATTTCTTTTTTCTGTCATATTATTTTACACTTACTTTTGTAGATCTGCACAAAATTTTATCTTGTCAGGGTCAATGAAATATTTTATTAAACATTGTATAATGAGAACATCTTGTTTTAGGATGCTTTTATCAAAATTAGCAGGACAGAAGGCATTTCTTCACTATGGAGTGGTTTAAGTCCCACACTAGTTTTAGCAGTACCTGCCACTATAGTATATTTTGTGACTTATGAACAATTAAAGAATCATCTCAAAGATGACCATAGGGATAAATTGTTAAAAATAGGCCAAATACCAAGTAAGCAAACGCCACTGTGGATACCTTTACTATCTGGCGCATTCGCTAGAGTAATATCAGTGTCACTAGTAAGCCCTTTGGAATTGTTTAGGACCAAAATGCAATCACAGAAGCTTAGTTATTACGGTAAGATCTGAGAAATGGTATATTATTGTGTGTGAAATTATAGTGTATTTTTATGTATGAGAGAGTAATAAAACAATAAATTATGTATGCAAATCCCTAAACTGTTGATACGGGTGACTCAATGAAAAACAGATATTTGTCAACAAGTTTACAGAAGTATATAGGAAAACAATTTTAAATTGAGTATGACCACCAGGTATAAAGGTTGGAGCAGAATAGAATACAATAGTTGTGAGGGTTACTAATCCCTAAATAAAGTTGCCAGTGTCGGAGTGATGGAGGTTAACAGGTACTAATGAATTTGCAAGAAATGTAAGATGTTTATTTTATTGGTTATATATAACCAATAAAAGTTTAATAAGTACCTACCTATTTGCAAAATAAAGTTTAATTCTTTAGATAAAATAAAACGTTTTATTTTATCTGAAATGAGTGCATTCCACGAAGTAAGGGTTTCAACAATCAAACATTTAATTCTTTAATTCCAGGAATCTACGACAGTAATTGACTAGATAATTACCTTCTAAACTTATTCCACAGAAAATGTGATAGTGGGTTTTTCCATTTTGTAGGAAGGTCCAAGTGGCGTATTCAAAATTCTTAACAGTTCACTAAAAGTAGGTACTTCAGTTGCAAGGTGCAGTTTATTGTGTATACTAGTGTTATGGAAAATTTGGAAGTGCCGTGTAAACGCCGAAAAATTGGTCCTTTAACAGTTAATGAAAAAACATTAATATTTAATTGTTTTAAATCATTTACAGACAAACGTTTATGTGAAAGTGTTGATGAGACCGTTGAGTTAGTTAGCAGTACACTTGGTGTTGGGAAATCTACGATTTACAGAGTTATTAAAGAAGAGAAATGTGGTAGTTTTCAAATGCCACGTAATGCTCCAGGGAAAACCAAAATTTCAAATAGAATATCATTTTAAAGAAGGACTTCGACGGAAAGTGCATGAATTCTTCTTTAGACAAGAATTTCCAACATTGGATAAAGTTCTTGTCTCAGTTCGAGATGATAAGGATTACCCAGAAATGAGTCGAAGTATGTTATGGAAACTTTTAAAAGAAATAGGCTTCCGCTGGAAAAAGAATCCCAGAAAGTCTATTTTATTAGAAAGAAGCGATATTGTCATATGGAGAAGACATTTTCTAAGAACCATAAAGGAAATGAAGAAACCAAAAAAGAAAAATATTTTATCTTGATGAAACATGGATCAACGAGGGTCATACACCAAATAAATTTTGGCAGGATGAAACTGTTACAAGTCAAAGGCACGCTTTTGTAAATAACTTATCTACTGGTTTAAACCCACCATCAGGAAAGGGACGCAGGCTGATAATAGTACACATTGGCAGTTCAGACGGTTTTGTTGAAGGTGGTTTATTAACTTTTGAATCAACTCGTACCGGTGACTACCATGAAGACATGAACGCTGATGTCTTTCAAGAATGGTTCGAACAAATGATAGATCTTCTTCCTAAGAACTGTGTAATAGTAATGGATAATGCAAGTTATCACTCCAGACTTATAGAAGGACTGCCCACAACCAAGTGGTTAAAAAAAGACTTGCAGAATTGGCTGAGTTCAAAAAATATTACGTACCATCCCGGATCTATAAGAAAGGAACTTTATTCGTTGTGTGCCCTTCATAAAGAAAAATTTAAAAAATACGAAATTGATGAAATTGCCAAAAATCGTGGAATGACAGTACTTAGATCCCCACCATATCATTGTGAATTAAACCCGATTGAACTGGTATGGGCACAGATAAAGAGTGAAGTTTCAAGAAAAAATACCACTTTTAAAATTCATGATGTTAAACAGTTGTTTTTGGAGGCCGTAAATAATGTAAAACCTGAAAACTGGGAAAAGGCAGTAAATCACACTATTAAAAAGAGGAAAAAATGTGGAAGCTGAACAATATTACTGATAAAATGATCGAGCCAGTTATTATAAATCTTGGGTCAGAAAGTTCATCTTCTGAATCTGATTTGGATTTGTAACAAGTAGCTGTAAGTTTTATATTAATATTTTTATTCATCTATTTAACATACCTTAGACGGTTTTAAAAACTCTTTTTCTCTTTTGTAATTTTTAAAAATAAAAAAAAATGTGAATTTTTTAAAACCCTTTTTAATGTAGGCCAGTCAGTTCTAATATAGTGTGTGATAAAAGAGGTCACTTTTGTTTACATACACATAACACTTTATAACACTGAAATAATTCATTTATTTTTTACAATTATTCAAAGTAATTTTTCAATTAATCTTGAGCACGCCCATGGAGTGGTCGGAGGTACCAGTTAAAATTATGCTAATTACTCTCTCGTTCATAAAAATAAACTATAAAGCTGTGACAGGAATTTATTTTTGTAAAATCAAAAGATAATTTTCATCACATTAAAGCAATTAGACAAATGTATCATCATACCTTTACTGAAGCTTTTTATTTTATTTAACCCGAAATTTTCAATTATTAGATGTTAATCAAAATGGTTGTCACACCATATTATTATATATATATATATATATATATATATATATATATATATATATATATTATATATATCCATATATTATATTTAAATGCATTTTTTAGAGATGAATCTTGCTGTAAAAACATTGATAAAACAAGATGGGCTTCGAGGGCTTTGGAAGGGAATATTCCCAACGTTATACAGAGATGTGCCTTTTTCAGCCATTTATTGGATGAATTATGAAAGTATCAAATCTCTAATGGGTGTAACAGATAGTCAACCCTCATTTTGGATAAGTTTTTTTTCCGGAGCAATTTCTGGATCTGTAAGTTATTTTCATATTTGATTAGTACTTTTATGATATAGTTTATTATTAAGTCAATTCTTTTTAGATAGCGGCATCTATAACAACACCTTTTGACGTTGTAAAGACACATCAACAGATTGAATTTGGGGAAAAAAATCTATATGCAGGTAAGTAAGTATATAAATATGCCATGAAAAGCTTCTATAAGTATTACTAATATTTATTTTATTTATTTATCAACAGGCAGTCGCCCGAATGCCCGAAAGCAATGAAATAAACGCACAAATTCAAGTATTAACGACAATTACCGAAGATATAACACCAACATGGAATACGATTACCAGTGCTGTAACAGACATCATGAAAAACAAACTTAGGGTACAAACGAAATAACAAGAGGCAAAAATGGATGACAGAAGAAATACTATTACTAATGGAAGAAAAATAAGAATAGCAAAAAATGAATGGCTTAAGCAACAATGTATCGGACCTAGAACATTTACAAAGACAGCACGACGACCATAATTTACATAAAAAGCTTAAGGAGACTGCTGGAATATACAGAAAACGAAGACCAACTACCATAGTTAATCAGGATAACCAGATAGTGCTGGGTGAAAAGGAGAAAATTGATATATGGGAAAATTATATCCAGGAGCTCTTCCATGACGAAAGACCCATGAGTGAAGTTTATACAGACGACCAGCTGACTGGCCCTTCAATCACCAAAGAGGAGATAGAAAAAGCAATATTAAATTCAAAAAACAATAAGGCACCTGGACCAGATGAGATCCCGTCAGAAATACTCAAATTACTAGATGAAAGGGGAATTTCAGCACTACACAAAATATTTAATTTAATTTATGAAAACTGGCTGCTATCCTCAACAGTGGTTACGCTCTACCTTTATTCCCATGCCCAAGAAAGTCAATGCAAAAAGATGTGAGGATCACAGACTCATTAGCCTGATGAGTCACACTTTAAAGATATTCTTAAAAATACTACATCAAAGATTATACAAAAAATGTGAATGGGACATCAGTGATTCCCAGTTCGGGTTTAGGCAAGGTTTAGGAACACGAGAAGCAATAGTAGCAACACAGGTACTGGTCCAAAATTGTTACGATCAGAGGAAGGATGTGTTCCTATGCTTTTTAGATTACCAAAAAGCGTTTGATCGTGTCCAACACCATAAGTTAATGCAGATTCTCAAGAAAGTTGATATAGACCAAAAAGACATAAGATGCATTGAAAACTTGTACTGGCATCAAACGGCACAGCTAAAAATAGACAATTCTATATCCAAGCCCATACATATAAGAAGAGGCGTTCGACAGGGATGTGTGCTTTCCCCTCTTTTATTTAACATTTATTCGGAAGCCATATTTCAAGAGTCTTTGGAGGATGCAGAGATGGGAATCAAGGTGAATGGAGTATTGATCAACAACATACGATATGCTGATGATGGTGTCTTAATTTGTGACAACATAGTCGATCTTCAACAACTTGTCACTATAATCGGAGAATACAGTGAGCGAATGGGACTAGAGTATTAATACCAAAAAGACCAAATTCATGATCATCTCCAGAAAACTTGGATGCACTTGAAAACTCCACCATAACACTGAATAGTAAATCCATAGAAAGAGTGAGTAAATTTAAATACCTGGGATCGTGGCTTTTTGAAGACTGGGCATCGGACAGGGAAGTAAAATGTCGCATTGAGCAAGCTCGACAAGCTTTCGTAAAATTCAAGAAGGTACTGACTTGTTCTGAGTTCGATCTTCAACTGAGACTAAGGTTTACTAAGTGCTACGTATGGTCAGTGCTGCTATATGGCGTTAGAGGGCTGGACACTCAAAACGAGGGATATAAACGATTGGCTTTCGAAATGTGGCTTTATCGCCGTATCCTAAAAACACCATGGACAGCGAAAATCACAAATATAGATGTCCTTAAAAGAATAAACCAAGAACGCCAACTTGTCGAAACCATCAAGAAAAGGAGAATGGCGTAGCTAGGTCACATCATGCGAAATGAAAAATACCAGTTCCTCCAAATTATAATCGAGGGTAAAATTGAAGGCAAGAGAGGAATGGGACGCAAGGAAAATGTCCTGGCTCCGAAACTAAGGCAATGGGACAGGGATCAACGACATACAATCTCTGATACATATTGCAAGAAATAGAGAATTAATGGAAAATGTGATCGCTAACATCCATTAGTGGATTTGCATTGAAGAAGAAGTCGCCAATTAATATACAATGTAAACATTATTCATAGATTACAGTTGATTCTTAACGTAACTACTTAAATTAACATTTAAAATTTTAATCATACAAAAAATAAAAGTAGGAACAGTAAATAACAACATTATAAAGAATGTACAAAACACAAGGACTATCAAGCTATCACACACAGTTCGTAAGACTTGAGCTTTAAATTCTTTTGGAATACTATAACAGTCGAACCTTTGGAAAGAATGATTAGCAAACCTTGGTGTTCTAGATGTGAATGAATTGAGTCCATAGTTTGTGCGATAAAAGTCTAACATAAAAGGGTTGATTTAGCCTTGTTTGTCTACTGGGAACATGGAGATTAATTTTTTTCCAATAGTTGAGGACCAAAAATAATAGGGTGCGGTATACTATAAAACATAGTGAGATCCTTGTGCATGCTTCGGATTTAGAGAGATATTATGTTGAGGGACCTTTCCATATTTGAATAGTTAATTTTTTCAATCCTCTGGTTTTGTTTAAATGAAACATATCTTAAGAATTTGTGTTGAACTCTCTCAATAACTTGAATATGGGTGTTATAGTGAGGAGACCAAACACATGAACAGTAATCTAGGTGGGGTCTCACAAGTGAACAATACAAAATTTTTATGGATGGGATATTTAGAAAGTCTTTAGCACAAAGTTTGATAAACCCTAAAAGTTGAAGTGATTTTGAGACAACAGATGAGATATGGGGGATGTAGGACAAGCTGGAATCGAGCACAACACCTAGGTCTTTTATCTGAGATACAGAGTCTAAAGGGCAACCCTTGATAGTATAGATATGATTTGTAGGAGTTTTATTCCAAATAAAAACTATTAAATGACATTTTTTAACATTAAGTTCCATTCAGTTGCTGTCACACCAGTAGCTCAATCGATCCAAATCAGACTGTAGTTTTTGATATCTTTTTTGATAGTAGTTTTTAATAGTAGATTCGTAACGCATAGGCACATCAAGAAGAAGAAGAAGAATATTTATTTATTTGATTTTTATAACTAGCATACTTATTGTTAGATATCTCTATCAATATTATAAATAAATTGTTTTTGGTTGTATTGGTTTTTTCACTGATAAATAATTAGCACTAATGAGCTGGATTTTAATAGATGTTGATACTTCGAAGATTCAAAATAAAAAATAGTATTATCTTTTACTATCGGAAAGATTTTATTATCTGCCAGAACTAGTAGTATCAAAAATCTTATGCTTTTCTTCTGCAAATCTGTTTCTTCATTAATTTCTACAGTTGGTAAAATTGTATGATTAAAAGACCTGATGATGAAAAAATTCTGATTTATTTGAATTGATCATACAATAACTTTTTCAGCTGGAAACAAAGTAAAGGCGAATAGGTCTACTATAGAGGTGATAAGGGAAATCCGAGCGGAGCATGGGACTAGGGGATTGTTCGCCGGTTTAGCACCAAGATTAATCAAAGTTGCCCCTGCCTGTGCTATTATGATCTCCACATTTGAATATGGTAAAGTGTTCTTCAGTAAATGGACAAATCAACCCATGGACCAACTGGAACCTGATATTAGTTCAACACCTAGTTTCGTATCTAAGGATGACAGGTAATTATAATTTATAATTAATAATCATATATGCCATTAAAAGTAGGGTGACCAAACTACACAACAATATTCCAAAATGGTTACTTACAGTACATTCTTACAGTTTCTTGTGACAAGTCTAAGTAATTTAGAATCCTTTATGGATATTAAGTTGATATGCTGCACCAAGCAAAAGGAAAGCCTTTCATCTAAAGTAACTCATAAGTTTTTAATGGAAGAGACATACTTAAGAGGTTGCTCTTCAATGGAATAACTTTCCAATACCAATCCTGTTCACCTCTTGAGTAAAACCGATATAACAACACATCTTAACATATAAATGAAGATCTGATAACGAATTTTTGATCCATTCAACAAACATGAAATCCACAGAAAGCCATTTGATGATCAACATGATCAAATGCTTTACTGAAATCAGTATATACAGCATCCACTTGTTTTTGGCCTTCGATTTGCTTCATAGCATAATAATAGCGAACTAAATTAGTAGCTGTAGATTTTTTTTTCACAAAAACCATGCTCAGACTCTGAGCTAAGCTTGCAGATTTTGAAAAATAGACAGATTGAAATAAGTCCTTGAATAAATTAGCAGTTTTTTGTGCATTAGTAGCAGACAACCTATAAAACATAGCATTTGATAAACTGTGACTAGAATGTTTATTATTAATATATGTCCAAAATGATTTCTTCTTCTTTGTCAACAATTTTCCATCCACTCCTGAATGTAGGTCTCTCCCAATTGCTTTCTCTATCTTGTGCCAATCTAATTCACTGTTTGCCTACCACTGCTCTTATGTCATCTACCCATATTTTTTGATGTCTTCCCATGCTTCTTGTTGTCATTATATGATTTAGGATTGTTTTTTAAATTAGCATAGATACCTTTGACATTATTTTATATACAATGAGTGAGCATACCTTTTCTCACACGTCAAAATTCTAAGTTAATGGGAAAACCATTTAAGAAAAGTTGATTTGAAAACCATTTATGACAAGATTCTTAAATTTGCCCATATAAATTTGATAACATCGTCTATTTAAGTTTTTTTTTTGTTTGCAGGAAATCGGTGATGCTAGGCAATAAAATTGGAATGTAATTTAAGTTAGGCTATTGCTCCTCATAGGCAGTAGTGGAATTTTAAAATTAATTGGTTTTTAAAGGATTTAGTAAATCAAACTGTGATAAAACGATAACTGATTCATTAATGTCATTGAAAAAGTTTTACCTATTAAGTTGTGCTACTGACTTCCGTCAATTTTTCAAATTATATATGACAATTTTGGTATTAAAAGAGTATTTTAGTGGAATTTCGTGGCCAACTTGACATAAAGCTTTTGTTTGTATATAATATACAGTGTGTCAATTTTAAAGTTTACAATGGGTTATATCTCACGAATAAAAGCTGATATCGAAAAATGCTTGAAACCGTTTCTAGATAGTAAGAGGGAACTAAAATGGCATGAAAGAGATTTCACTACCATCAACCCCCTGGGCCCCACCCACCAGAACCAAAAAAGTTTAAATTGCAGACCCCTACTTGTGATACATCATTAAAAAGACTAAAAATGCTATCCATGGTATAAATAATAATTATACAGTGTGAAGCAATAATTTTTGTTGAATTACAAATTTGTTAAAAATGCCAATTAAGTAAATGCTCAAAGTGGGTTCCGTTGTTTTGTAAACAATAATACAGCCAATTTTAAATTCTGCACGAACTTTGGCAAATGTTCTAGTAATAGTGCAACATGCTTGCATAATTCTTTCTCGCATTTCCCTAAGTGACGCAGGTTGAGTTTTATAAACAACTGACTGGTATAGAGTCATAGAAAAATGTCAGGTGGTGGTAAGTCTGGTGACCTCGGTGGCCACTCAATAGGACCTTTCCTTCCAATCCATTTGTTCGGATACTTAATATCCAACCAGTGCCTAAATGGAGCTGCTTTTAGTGCAGCAAATCTTCGTCTAGAGCTAGGTTGCCTTGATCGTCCCTTTGGTTCTCTAATTCATGCACAATTAAAGGTTCGATGGTGTTTTCCAGCATATCGAGATGAATTTCGCCACTTAAATTGCCTGGTATAAACAAGAGGCCAATTACAGCATCGTCTAATATTCCTACCCAAGCATTCAGTTTTTCAGGATATTGAGTGTGGCCTTCTCTGAATCGATGCGGGTTCGCATCACCAGTACCGATAGTTTTGTTTATTTACATTACCATTCAGCGTAAAAGTACATTCATCAGTGAAACATTAACATTTCTTCCAGTCATGAGTTCACAAAACTCAATTCGTCGGTCTGGATCATCATCGCCTAGTTTTTGAGGACTTTGTGTTTTGTAATGAAACTGTAATTTCAACACCTTTCTAACCGACTCATATGAAAGTCCTGTCATTGCAGATACTTGACGTGTTGATGTAGTAGGCTTTATTGCAAAATTTCCAAGGACCCCAATTTGGGATGCTTCATTCAGTAATCTTGGGGCATCCCTTTTTTTATTTTGCACTGATTCCGTTTCTCTAAACTCTTCAACTAAATCGCGGACGTACACTGACTTACAGATTTGTCCGGATGCCTTTCATGAAATATTTGAGCTGTTCGTATATAATAGTTCTGGGAGGCAAATATGAAAATTATCTCCACCCGTTCAGGTATACTGTAAACCATCGTGACAACTCCAGCTGAATGACAGTACCGATTATACAAATGATGAAAACTAATACCATTTAAAATTCTCAAATAAACCAAAAATTATTGAATCTGACAGAATCCAAAAAACAGATGTTTTCAACTTGTTTTGCAAAAACGGCAAATTAAGATTTTATTTAAAAAAAATATCCGACACATCATTAAAAATAATAGTCCGTTCGATAGCATTACAAATACAAAAGTCACAGTAAGTGGGCTGATATTAACACTCTGTATAATTATTGAACAATAATTATACAGGGTCATCAACAGAATCAACAAAAATCTCATTAAATTTTCCATTTAAACCAAAGTTTCACAATTATTGCTTACTGTAGATATTTATTTTATACATGGTTAGCATTTTTATAGTCTTTTCAATGATGTATCACGAGTAATTTAAACTTTTTGTTTGTGGTGGGTCCTACTCCACGTTAGAAAATACATTGCGGAGATAGGGCCATGTATTTCTTATGGACGATAGCAACGCGGCGTTGCCACGACACACACAAGCACAATTTAGGGTTGTATAATTGTATTTTCGTTTCCACAAACATGAATTAAATTAATGTTTTTAACGTAATTGACCAAAAGTGCCCATTCGAAACAAGAGATGAAAAGTAGGGAAAATGATTTTAATTAGATAAATAGTATTTACAAAAGATAATTTTATTTTATCTTATTTTAATTATAGTAACGACAGTTTATTTGTTTTTCGGTGAGAATACGATATGCCATGAATCATAGAAATCAGTAGAAAATATTGACTGCTTGGAATGTGTATATCTAATTACTAATTGCAACTTAAAATAATACGATGTGCGTATGTCAGCTATTTTATGTCGTTCTCTGACTACATAATGATAATAAGGCTTTTATTTCGTAGTTATTCTGACTTTCCAGTTAAATGTTAATTGAAAATGAAAATTCAAAAATTAAGCAAAGGGAATATCTTGGACATCCGTGCAAAAGAGAGTGTCTGAGAGTTTTGGCAACACTGATCTCCATAAGCGTATGTTATTTTCTTAACTTGAACAAAAATAGAAACGGTTTCACCATTTTTCGATACCAGCTTTTGTTCGTGAGATATAGCACATTGTAAGTTTTAAAATTGATACACTGTATATAATATATATACACACAAAAATTTTGCTATAATCGAGCGAAATTGTTCTATAGTCTCGTTAATAAATGACCTTTCATATTTGAATATGAACCATACCGCTCCTCACTCAAAATATGTACTTGTTAAAAACCTAACTTGGCGTGTGACTTACATTAACTGTTTTTCCCTGTTTCCACAAATATTATTTATTCACAAAAGAAGTACTTGGCCGGTTGATTATAGTAACACCCGATAAAAACGAGAGTTACCAATCTTATTAATAATAGTAAAGAGCTTACGATTAATAATAAAGATTATTGATCGTAATAATAATAAACGTTGTTTATTTTAAATAGGTAATGACGTCACTAATAGGCTTGATTGTTGATTATTTTGTATGCTGGCAATGGGTCTGAGTAAAACTCAAGATTAAATCAATCAGAGGAAGAAGAGAACTGCCCTTATCGTTCACATGTGTCATAAATTAATGTGTTTTTGGTATAAAGTACCCAATTAGTTAAAAATATAAAGAATAAGATTAAATAAAGCTGTCTTTTGTTTTATTTGTTGTTATACATAAAATGAGTCCACTAAAAATACCAAATATGACAATTTGATGAAAATTCTTCTGATGAAGACTCCATTGTCTGTTGTCAATATATTTCGTCGCCGCCTATTTACAATAAATAAAGTACGAGGGACGTACATAATGTAATATTTCTAGGAAATATTAATGTACCCATTTGTGGTTAAAATCAAAATAATTTATCTATCATGTTCTTAGACAATTTCCCTAATATATTTATTTCCTATTTTCTAAAGTTGCAGCTTTTATTTTATGGAAGTCCCTCGTACATCATAATTTGTCTTAATACGTATTTAATTTTAATTGAGGTATAAATACAATGCACATATCTTTCCAAAAATTGTTTTTTTTTATTTTTAATAAACATAAAAACGATTACGTCTTTTATTTCTTTTAATGGCTTACATAGGTCTTGTATTTTCACACAAGAACAAGGGACAGGCGGTCAGGACCACAAATCCACCCCTGCCCCACTCCACAATCTCCAAAGTGCCCTAACTGCGGCGGAGACCACGTTGCTTACTCAGCCAAGTGCTCCCGCAGAAAGGAGACACCAAGAACACCTCAAGAAACACAACCCATCTCATAACCGACAAAAGAATCCTTTCATATGAGCTGTCATCAGATATGAAAGCCGTTATGGAATTTACTTCACTTCTTTTAATCAACCTTCTCCCTGACAGATGTCAATTGATCCTTGACGTCACCAACTCATTATCCTCTCCGATGTTTAGCCACAAGAGTACTGTTGTGGCACATAACAGCAGGGCTTCCATAACATTCTTGAACGAGTAATGGACAGTTCAAATAGTTCAACTGCCTGGGTGTCGCTAGAAAACGCCCCTTCATCAAACTCATCCTCCTGGAATATAACATACAAATCCTAGCAGTCTCCGACACCCGATTCCATTTTCCCCGGCTATTGTACTATACACCGTCCCCGCTGCCAGATATCTCACGGTAATGGCACCTTATTAAATACGGAATCCCATTTTCAGCTCACACCATTCCTCCACACACAATTCTTAATGATGAAGACTTTCTGGCAGTGGACATCCACCTTGATAACAACACCACACTGACACTAGTCTCTTATTGCAAACATCCTCTCCAACCCCTTTCCCAAGCGTTGCTCGAATATGTCTCCAGCCTAAATAAGGCCATCATTATTGGAGACTTTAACGCCAGGCACACAGAATTTGGCGACACAGCAAACGATGGATGCGTGCAGCATCCTCCTTGCAGATCTGCTCTTTGATCTTCCCTTACACCGAATTAGTAACCATGAGCCGACTCTATGGGTCCCATGGCATGTCGTCCATCGATCATGTCGTGTGTACTTACGATCTGATTGATGTCTAAGGCGACGAATGCATAGTTGAAGAACAGGTACTAAATCCTTTACCTCCCAATCCCCCTCATACAAAAAAAGACTACAAACACGCCGACTGGAACCTCTTCAAAGACTTTCTGTCCGCTAATATTCCACAGTTAGGTAATTTAAATTATCCGGATATCATCATGTATCACGGTTATTAACGAACTGATAAATCAAGCAATTGAGATGTCAGTCCCCAATAGGGTCATGAACCCTAGAAAACCACCACTTTCTCCCCAAATAATAGATACGTAAGGCAAATCGAGTTTGCATCTTGAAAAATAATCCTTAAGATAGACAACCAGTTATATCAGAGCACTACGAACTGGTTATATATCAACTTGTAGGGATTATTTTCTTATCCTTGTTATTGTTTACACTGCAACCAACGTGTTATTGATTTTAATACACCAAATTCACGTTATGTTTACTAGTTTGTTATTTAATATTACCATAAACATTAAAAACATGTTTATGTGGTGCAATTTATTTTACGTACGGCAAATCGAGTTTGAATCTTGAAAACTAATCCTTAAGATAGACAACCAGTTAAATCAGAGAACTACGAACTGGTTATATATCAACTTGTAGGGATTGTTTTCTTATCCTTGTTATTGTTTACACTGCAACCAACGTGTTATTAATTTTAATACACCAAATTCACGTCATGTGTACTAGTTTGTTATTTAATATTACCATAAACATTAAAAAACATGTTTATGTGGTACAATTTATATTACGTTAGGCAAATCGAGTTTGAATCTCGAAAACCAATCCTTAAGATAGACAACCAGTTATATATCAACTTGTAGGGTTTGTTTTCTTATCCTTGTTATTGTTTACACTGCGACCAACGTGTTATTGATTTTAATACACCAAATTCACGTTATGTTTATGTTGTTATTTAATATTACCATAAACATTAAAAACATGTTTATGTGGTACAATTTATTTTACGTAAGGCAAATCGAGTTTGAATCTTGAAAACTAATCCTTAAAATAGACAACCAGTTATATCAGAGAACTACGAACTGGTTTATATATCAATTTGTAGGGTTTGTTTTCTTATCTTTGTTATTGTTTACACTGTGACCGCCGCGACCGGTCCAAACTATTGTGCTTAATAATAATTATTATATTCCAAAACGTGTTATTGATTTTTATGCACCAAATTCACGTTCTGTGTACCAGTTTGTTATTTAATATTAATATAAATGTTAGGGAAACGGGGACGGGAAATAGACAACATGTGTACCAAAAGAACGAATATTTTATTTTGCAGATTACACAAGACATTTACAACTTAAAAGTTACTTTGTAATAAAAAATACTGATATATCATTTCCTTATTAATACGTTAAAAAAATGTTCATACTTGATAACATATTCAAAAATATGGTGTATCATAAAGCATAGCTACTTTGCATCTTAGAAAAATTTAATTTTTACCTTAATTGAACATCTTTCTTCATACGGTAGTTATTTCTAATCATATTGTGATGACTTTTTAAAACTATTGCCGTTATATTTAAATCGAATGTTAAATGCAAAGTTGCTTTTGCTTTAGACTCACTTAATGCTTTTTCTACGGCCGTTTTGAAATAAATATAAAAATAATTATACCTATAAATACTGATAGACATTTACAAGATCGTAACAATACAGACGAACTTCTTTGGAAACGTTCACAAATGTTGCTTTTACGATTAATAAGACTCTCCTCTTGCCAATATTCTTTAATTCAATTTTATATTATTTTTTCTCTAGATTTATTGTCTTTCATACTAAAAATATTGTGTAGTCAGTCCATATTGCAAAACAACCAGAGAAAAAGCTCCTAGATGCTTGAATCAAAAACATTCGCCATACTGGGCGATAATATCGCTAAATTCTGATGTATTTCGCCTCCATTTGTTACGTTACTACAATTTTTTAATTAACTCTATTCATTTTATAATTTTCCACCATTGCAACTTTTTGATTCAATCATTTATAAGGTTTTATATTAATTACTTTCTTAGAGCAATGCTTTCATATCCGTATTTGGAAGGAAGTATGCCAAGAAAGCACAGCCTGAAACAAAGGAAGCACCATTAAGCAATTAATTGTTTCTTCCAAAGCTAGTTAAATTAACACAAATCAAGAAAACATAAATTTTCAACAATGCGAGAAAAATAAAAATTAGGTTAGGTAATTGTACAGAAAATTATTGAATCGATTTAAAACATACGTAAAACCTGCATGCTTTAATCAATGACTATAGATCAATAGCTTGCTTTAATCAATGACGTATAATAAATAGAGCCAACAGCCGTCTATACTATGTCTACAGCCACCGTAAAACCAAGGAGGTTATTATGGCATGACATATTATAAGCAAACTAGAAAATATTCTATCATAAATACGAAATAAATTTATAAAACAAAATCAAACTAAAAACCGTTGAAAAATTATTGTTAAAATCAAATATTTCTGGCAAAGATAATAATAATAGTATATTACTTTATGAGGCGGAGAAGCATGACTTTTCTTGACGCGCCCGATATTACGCTCCGACGAAGTGAGGCGCGTAAGGTCGATTCAGACACATCAGTCCCGTCACAGTCTCGGCGCCGAACCGTTCCTGTTTGGTCACAGAACTATTAATTATCTGACAGCTGGGAAACTGTTCGTCACCTGATGAATGTGAATGCCGGCGGCATATTTCTATTAGAATATTTTGTATGACGGATTGTTCGGTTCGGCGCCAGGACTGTGACGAAACGTGACTGATGTGTCTGAATCGACCTTAATAGAGGGCAAGTCAAGAAAAGTCGCTTCTTTGCCGAATAAAGTATACTATTTTTTCTTCAAACGTAGCAATTTTCAACCATAAATAGTACAATTCATACGCTATTTTTACTCGAAATTAACTGTGACAACTATCAAAGTCGTCTAGATGTTAGAAATTAAAATAATTAAGTCGTCGGTGGGATTTGCGTCTCCCTGGTTACAGTTGTTTGACAGTTGTTTGCAATTATTAAAGACAGCTTATTGTTGTTGCAACCGCAAGCGCAAATTTAGTGCGAAAATGGAAAACCTAAACGAAATTGAGTCCGCGGCTAATGATGCAGTAGCACGTTTGGGGCCCTCCAAGTCCGGAATAAAGTATCGGTTAGCGTACAAGCACTTCCAAGAGTGGTGCGATACAAGAGGAGTACGGCAAGTTACCGAAGACGTTTTACTGGCATATTTTAATATAATGGAAAATGAAAATAAATGGAAATCTTCTACAATGTGGTCACGATACTCTATGATAAAATCCGAGTTAGTTATTAGAAAAAATGTAGATATAAGCAAATTTTTAAAGTTACGTGCCTTTCTGAAAAAAAAAACAAGCGAAGGATATACTGCAAAGAAGTCTAAAGTTTTCACTAAAGACGAGTTTGATAAATTTTTGTTTGAAGCGCCAGATAAGTTGTATTTAGGATTAAAGGTAAAAAAAATATATTGCAAAGCATGTAGTATACTCTACTAAATTATAAAAATATTTCAGATTGTTTTGTTAATTGGGGTTACCGGCGCCTGTCGATGCGACGAAATGGTAAAAATGAAGACTGTGGACATTGAGGATAAAGAAAATGTAATAATTATCAAAATCACAGACAGTAAAACACGACAAATTAGATCTTTTACGATAATTGGTCAAAACTACATTAAACTGTATAAAAAGTATGCATCACTGCGCCTAAAATTCACAGAAAACCGATTTTTTATCAAGTACCAAAATGGAAAGTGTTACCGAAGCGTCATGGGAATACATTCGATCAGCGCAGTAGCCCAAAAAGTAGCTAGTTATTTAAATTTAAACGATGCAAGCGCATACACGGGTCACTCTTTACGACGAACTTCAGCAACACTTTTAATTGATGGAGGCGGAAATCTAGAACGCCTCAAACGACATGGGGCTGGAAATCAAGCACGGTTGCCGAAGGATATATAGAGGATTCAATAAGAAATAAGAACGATAATGCTAAAAAAATTTTAAACCCTCATGATTCTGCCAACATCGGGAATGATTGCTGAAAGTTGTTCTCGACCATCAGTATCATCAACAATTACCAATGCGTATCAAGGTCGGGAACATTTTTGCACGGTTTCAATTTGAAATGCCTCATTAAATTGACTTTTAATATACTAAATAAAATGATGTTAATTGTTGTTAATGACATTTGTATTGTTGCTTTGTGACATGTTTCATATTGTTGCCATGACAACATTTTTCCCTCCGCCTGTAAAGAAATGGGAGAAAAAACTGCTGCCGGCGGAGATATCAAACTTTGACAGGATCAAGTTAGATAAGTAATGTCATCATTATCTGACGTTTAAAGAAAAAAGTCATTTTTACTTACCAATCATCACAGATCCGACAGAGAAAAATGGAGGTGCACATCCTGACTCTAACAAAAAGGGGAAAATCAAGTTTCCTAGCGCTGCACCAAATCTTCCGAACATCATTGTAAGGGATACAGCCATAGTCCTAGAAGGCAAAGTAACAATAGTTTATCAATGACAACAAGAAAATGATAAAACAAGTAAAAAAAGAATTATTTCAGGCACAGATCAAACATTTTCGCAACAATAATAAATCACGCAGGCACCTACTGGAAATGAACAGCAAAATTACTGGTTATTTCTCAATTTAAAATCCCATAAAATGGTAAGTTTCATTCTGACTATTTTTTGGATTGTCTGATCATGACGTAAGAGACATAAGTCCATCGAGCAAAAAGACAAAAGAGGGAATCAAATCGTTATGAAAAGGAGACCAAAAAAGTGGCCTCTGATGGCGGACATATCCGGAAATGCAAAGGTGCTAAATTTAAATTTTCAGACACTTATTAACAAAAGCTACAAAATATTTTTCAGACGAGAAAGTTTTAATTAAATATTAACGATAATACTCTAAAATGTGACACAATTGGTAAAAAACGTCAATATAAATAAAATTTCATGTTACAGTTGGGACAAACAATAACCTAACCAAACTAAATTTTATTTCTTAAACAAGGAAAGAGACTGTCTTTCCTTGTCTAAAGTGGTCCTTTCAAGATAGCACTTCCTGTCTAACAATATTTTTGTCCCTACTACCACAGAATATTAGTGTTCTGTGCTACTACCTTTACACTCCCTCTTTTGTCTTTTTGCTCGATGCATAAGTCCCGGTTAAACCGGGACGTATGGTAAGTCTAGCTAGGACCCACGCAGGGTTGTAAAGCCAGAATGATGATGATGACTTTTTTTATCGGGCAATGTTATTAAATATTACTTACCTTAAAGAAGTTGGTATCAAATCTACTACAACTGCTAATATAACATTTATTCCTATGCTACCAAACGTAACAAACATCGCGGAAAATGCTATCGTAGACGTTACATTTTTTGAAAAGTACAACGTCATCGCCATGGATCCCGATATGAATCCCAAGATACCTGAAATAATTTTATTATACCAAGACGTAGGTGCACCACATTTTACAAGGTTTTTCATTCAAATTTAAGTACTAAATATATTTTTTTACGACTATTTCACTAGATTATTTTTAACTGATCACACATCATAACACTACCCCAGAATAATAAACAATATAAACAATCAGAATGCTCACTCTCGATGCCGCCTTTGAAGTTTTTCAGCACGCGCGCCCATGTTTTAGATTGAAACACGGAACACAGACTTGGATTGAGAATCACATTTGGTGTAATGGGTATTTATCGACATATGATTTGTGAGGTTATGTAATTATTTATATTTATGTTTAATCATATTATATTTAATTATATTATATTTATATTTATGTTATTATATTTAACTGTTAAATGTTAAAATAATTGTATAGTATGTCTATGATTGCCGTAAGTCAATTAAACCGGGTTAATTTTTCCATGCACACCACATAAACAACACTGGTTCCCTTTAAAACATGGCGGAACGTCTGCGCGAACGAGATGCGCGTACTTAATTTTCTATGGAGAGTGGGCATTCTGATTGTTTATTATTTTGTGACACTACTAACAAAACTCCTTCTTGCCCGTGATTTCTCAGCGACAAAATTATGTGACCGATCCTTCACGAAGGTGTCTGGTAATTCTATTGTTGTCAGTTTAACAAACGTCATTGAGGCGTAATCAATTTGGACAGATGAATGCAGATGAAAAATCATGATTTGAATGCCAGTCAGATTTCTGAGGCGCTAGCTGTAGATCGTTCTCTCTGATCTACCTACTAATGCGGCGCAGGGCTGTATTAGCCGCATTAGCCATGTTCGTTTTCTGACTTGTCTTCGCAACCAGTGCGAGATCATCGGCATAAGCTACAAGAGTGCATCCCCTTGGCATCTGTAGCCTCAACACCCCGTCGTACAGGACATTCCAAAGGATAGGACCTAGTACTGAACCCTGTGGAACACCCTGCGACAAACTGATGCTGATATATTTTTCTCTTATGGACCTGTCAGTGAAGTATCTGTCAATTACGTTTACCAGGTATTCGCTAACGTCCAATTCTCTAAGCCTGGACATTATTTTTTCCCATGATGCCGTATTAAAGGTATTCTTGACATCGATTAGAATGAGAGTCACCCATCTCTTTGTATCCTGCGTAACTAAAGAGGTTACTTTTGTGACCGCATCTATGGTGGACCTTTTGGCCCTAAAATCATATTGGCGATCGCTCAGCGCATGCTTTTCTTCTAGCTCTCGCTCAAGGCGGCCTTTTATAAGCATTATTATTACTTATTCTAAAACGATATCTGCAGCTGGATTCCAGTCACCACCAGAAGTCAATCGAAAATCCCAGAACAACAAATGATGCTGCATCTTCTAGTTCCCAAATGCTACAGGTCAATAATACACAAAATCATGCTTTGATAGAAAATAATGGACAAACTACTATAGCTTGTAATAATTGTACATTTAAAACTGTTTACAAATAAGTAAAGATTATGCTTCGTTGATATAGTGCATTGTCTCGTGAAATAGTCTTGTCAAATATCATTCAAGAGAAAATTATTTACCGGCAAAATTTTCTCCTGGTTTTATTTACGTTTGTTGCCTTTTGTCAATTTTCGCTTATGAATTTTTGACAAAATCACTCAACAAACTTTCATACCATCGAAAATACTGCCGGCAAGATCTTCTCTCTTATGACATTATATACGAAAAATCCTTTAGATTACGTCCACTAGAATTTTTTTTATCTATACGTACTCAATAACTTCTTTTTTCCCAAAGAATTGATCAACGTTCCTGCTGTAATGTATCCGATGATACTTGTCGTAGCCACTATCATGGAATTTGTGTACACCTCTGTATTATTTGAATTCTGAAATAAGAAAATCAATTATAATACACAAAAGCGTTTTAGTTCAAGCAATATTACCACTTCACATGGTTCTCCGGTTAGATTAAAAGTATCAGTCTTTGGTTGAAATATTTCCAAAGTCTCACAAAGTGTGGCACTTTCATTATTGTAGAATTTGTAATCGTTCATCGCCTGGTAGATTTGTGGAAGCCATAGTCTTAGAGTGTTCAATCTAGAAATAAAAACGGTACGAAATTAGAGTATTAGTATAGGCTACATAAAACTCATTTTATTTACCCCATCATGATCATAAACTGCAAAAGAAACACCAGAAAGATTTTGGTTACGTGAGGAGCTTTAAATATTGGTTTGATTTGGTGGAAACCTTCTTTTAACATCTGAGTATTGGTCCTGGTTACTGCTACGTCACTACTACTGGTATTCAAGTCGAAGTTGTTAATTTTAGTTTCGTCGATCAGGTATTTGATCTAAAACAATATATTATTGTGATATTTGAAGTCTTGGTGCGCCAAGCAATTAATTAGCTAATTAATTAGTTAATTAATTAAAATTATTTAAATGATATGATTCTGACTCTATCACACTTTTTAATTCTCTTATCTCAGGGTTAAATTCGTGCTTCAATATCTATGCTATTACATGTGAAAGGTAAGGTCCAAAGATTACCGGAATAATAAAAAAAAACGTATAGGATCTAACACTATATGTTGAAATAAAAATAATGAAATAAAATTCACACTCAAAAGTTTTCAATAAACAATATCTCATATGATGATTCTCAAAATTTTGTTCTACGTACGTGAACCTTCAAAATCAATGGTACAAACAATATTAGTTGAAATCTCAAAATCCAAATATTATTCTAAATCTCCTAATCAAAATATTTATATCCTTTCTAAATTAAGTGTAAAGATTGTGTTATCAATGAACGAAAAACTGCAGAAAACAAAACTATCTTTCTCTGATGATGAGTGGTCCAAATCCTTGTTATTTGTAGACTATTACTATTTACTCGTGGCCGCTCCCTAGGTAATCAGCAATCTTACAACAAATTATTGCAAGTATATCGTCCTTAATGATCTCCTTCAAATGCACGAATCGTTCAAATTATGCTAGCTTCTTCTTCTCTCAATAAACTGAATCTCTCGTTGGCCTGAGTGAAAAATGACTCTTGGAATATCTTTTCTTTACGATAAACTGAATCTCTCGTTGGCCTGAACAGTGACTCTTGGAATATAAGTAGAAAAATATGACTTACAATATTTTACTGGATCAGCTTCTGTCAGATACACTAACTACACGAAAACTCACAAACTTTCACTGCTACTGCTTCCTACCTCTGGGAAACTACCCGAGAACAACGGCCGTTCGCCTTGCACCCTTGGAAACCAACTGATTATCTTTTCTCTCTCCAAAATCTAGCTAAACTTTCATTCCTACATACCTATCCCACCTTTTTCAATCTCCGCCAATCAAAGCTCGTCACAATTCCCCCATTTTTTCATTTCGATAACAAACAAATTCCTACCTATAATTATAAAATTTCCTAAAACTTATTTACAAATAATATTTTTCTACAATTCTTAAAAACTAACAAAAACCTCTTTCTGAAATCTATTCTATTGTCCTTTAATCACTGCATTAATGTATTTGGAAAACCCGGTTCAATTGTCTTTGGATTTCACTTAAAATTATGCGGGTCACTCAAGTATAGTATAACAAAGAAAATAATTTATGCATAGCTTACATTTTGTTTAATACAGGTAATCCAAAAATTTAAAGACTTTCCTTCTTCGAAATGTTTGTTGGTTATTATCCTACTTATTTAAATTATTTTAATGTTTTTGAACTTTGAAATATTTTAAACAAACCAATATTTTTCTCGATTTTATATATCATAACAATATATATTAATCATTTTTTCTGTATAAAGACCAATAAATTTACTGGCTACATTGAAAAAAATATTAATACTCAATCAATCTCAAGCTTCCCCATTCAAGAAGGATCTCCATTCCCATTATTGAGAATCGTGATTTTTAATACTCGCAACAAATTGTTCTCTAACTTCAGCTGCTCTAAGAGTTTCGCAGAATGAATGTACCGCTGAATTTTAAATTTTGTCAGATCATCGGGTTAGTGTGACCGTCCTCTTGGTCTTCTCGCTAAATTATCACCTCTGCGAATCTCGTGACCAAAGAACTATAGACTTCGTTGTAGAAATATTGTGGACAGTCTTTTTTTATTGTTATATTGGTAAAGAATGAAAACTTTTGTCCGCTGAGCTGTCCAAGGTATTTATTGCAAAATTTATATTGTTCCTTTGGTATCCAGTCTTTACCTGCTGCTTTTCTGTTCTTCAGGTTTTCAAGTATTTCCGAACTTCCTGTACATTTATATTATTAAGTTCTTCATTTGTGGTAATTTCTGGTGTTTCTGGTGCTAGTGTCGTTTGTTCTTCCTGGCACCAAGCTTTTTAGGTAGTCAATCCACTTATCCTTTTCCATGTGTTTTGTTTCTATTAGTTTCTTTACCTCCGTTCTTTGACCTCTTATGAAGTGCCATATTTCCTTTTGTAAACCGTAAAAAATACTGAATTTGACTATTTTTATTTATAATTATAAACGCTTATAACAGCTAATTTGTTTAAAATACATTTGTAATGTTTTTTCAGCCAAGGAAAGTAATTTTAAAAGTAGTAAGCAGAATTTATATATGTATAAGCATAATCTGGTAATTATGAACACCCACTTCCATCATAAAAGGATACACAAGATCACAAGGGAAGTCAAATCAAGAGACGAACAATCCATTATAGACTATACTATAGTGCCAAAAACAGAGAAGCACTAGATAAGAGACGTAAGGGTGAAAAGGAGTTATGAAATTGGTAGTGACCACTATCTACTAGAAACCACACTTAAAAGCAAAAGAAAAGAAATAAAAAGAAACGAGAACATAAACAGAAAACACAAAAAAAATAAAAATTTATAAACCAAGGGAAGAAACAACGAAAATAAGATACTCAGAAGGGCTGGAGGAAGAGATTGACAATAAACATAGAAGTAAATAACAGAAACAATAGAAGAAGACTGGGGAAAATTTTAAAATCCGATGATAAAAACAGCTAAATCAATATGTGGAACTACAAGAAATAACAACAGAGAGAAACGTACATCTTGGTGGAACATTGAAGTGAAAAGAGAAATAAAAGAAAAAAAGAAATTGTGGAAAGAATACATACAAGACAAAACACAACTAAAATATGAAAATTATAAGAGACAAAGAACAAAAGTTAATGAGATAGTTAAGATAGAGGAAAAGAAAAGTTGGAAAAATTCAGAGAAAAAATGGAAGAAAACAGCACAGAAAACGTAAAATTATTTTATAGAACACTGTTTAACCTAAGAAGCAACAAAGAAACGAAACTGAAACAAATAATGAACAAGGAAGGAACAATAATAAACGACGATAAGACAATAATGGAAAGATGGAGGGAACATTTCCAGCTGGTACTGAATGGAAACCAAGCGAATACAATGGATAAGGAAAGCCACATCAAGAGAGTATCCATAAGAAACACGGAAAATCCAAAAACTATAGAAAATGAAGAACTGGAAAAAGCAATAAGAAAGGTAAAGATTGGAAAAGCACCAGGAAGCTATGAAGTAGCACCAGAAATGATGAAATATATAGGAGTAAAAGCAAAAGAAAAATTGTTATACATATATAACCTAATATGGAAGAGAAAAATAATACCCAGAGAATGGACAAATGCAGTAATTGTACCTATATACACGAAAGGAAACACAAGAGACTGTGAGAACTACTATGTGTAGCAGCAAAAGTATACGAAACCATAAGAGAAAGGAAAATCAGAAAAGAAATAGAACATAAATTAGAGGACGTACAAAGTGGATTCAGTAAAAGACACAATACACAAGACCATATATTCACCATGCAACAAGTAATAAAAAAAGCTTTAAAGAAAAATAGAGAAATATATCTGAGCTTTATAGACATGAAAAAGCATTCGACTCAGTCAAAAGAAAAGATATATGGGAAAGCCCAAAGAAGAAGCAACAAAGAGTATATACATGAAAATGACAAATACAGTAAGAATGTTAAGTATACAGTCAGAACCATTTGAAACAACTCAAGGAGTTAGACAAGGGAGAAGTCTCAGCCCAGTGCTATTCATAAATGTAATAGATGAGATACTGAAAGAATGTAAGAAGACATTCAAGAAATACTGCATCGGTTGGAACAGAATGCAAATGATAAGCTGAGATGGGACCTGTCAACATCTTTGTGCAGCTGTTGTAGCAGCGTAATCTATATTAGATGCAGAGTATTAATGGATATTCGCATTTTAATGGATTCTCTCGTCTCAGTATAATATCCAATCACGCAGTCGTTTAATAAATCAATAGTATAATAATATTTTTATATTATATTATGACTTTTAATAGCATAAATCAGTCACAACAAATTATTTACTGTACTGTTGATGCATGCTTTACTATTTTGACTTACACGTTCTAAAACAACAAAAAGTTCTTCAATAACTTACCGGATAACTGTCCTCTGAATGTCCGGTGTTAACTCGATATACTTCTCTAAATACACGAAGGGCCTTCTCGTTATTTCCAGTGGACATAAGAAACTTCGGACTTTCAGGAAGAAAAATGAATGCTACACCACTGGCAAGTGCCGGCAGGGAGCTCACCATTAAATAGATGTTCCAGGAATGAAATTCTGTAAGAGTTGAAAAAGTATGTAAGTGTAGGTATTGGTTATTTTCTCAAAAATCTTAATCCTGTAAGTACAGTACATTCAACCAACTTACACCTCTAAATGATTAGCGAAATTTGCAGAAAATCTTTCGTTGTAGTAAAAGGCGCAGGAAACTGCACTGGTGTTCTCCATAATGTTTAACACTTTGCTAAATTTAAGGTACAAAATATATGTGTCATTAACCCGTTGTTCATAGTTTTGCATGATTTGTCACATTTTGTTAATACATAAATAGTATTCTTGCACAATGTTATTTAACGTAAATTTCTTTCACCTACGTGCCAAGGATAATTTATATTTAAAGTAGATATACAAAGTACTAAAATATCAGTTTTAAGCATAAAAATTGGTTAGTTAGAAATAATATCAATTTTCAGGAATACGTCTCTAAATCAGAGTTATTGAAAATTGTACCAAGTTGTATCAAGTTATGGACATCAAGTAATACACTAATACACTAAATAAACAGTAATGTTTATAATTATATTTAAATTTTTGCTCATTTTATACAAGTTAACTTTAACTGATAATACAGGCAAAAATATTCTAAACAAAGTAAGTAATTAAAAAGATTATGGAGAGCTCCAGTGCAGTTTGCCGTGCCTTTGACTACAACAAAAGGTTTTCTGCGCATTCCAGTAATCGTTTAGACGTGTAAGTTGGTTGAATGTACTATATCTAAAACATTTAAAACTGCTTTTTTTCGATTACACAAGTACGTTTTTATAGATTACACTATTTCAGCTACAAATTTCAGAAAATGTCGTTTTGTCGTTCAGAAAGTTTAAATTTCTCATTTTTAGGCATATTTCAAATGATTCTTTCCGTTTTTTCTTCATAACAGGGGGGTGGTTAAAGAAGGAAGCCGGGGATAGGAATAGTAAATTTTTGCATTTTTTTTGGGTTTTAATAACATTTTTGGAAAAATTTAGGCTGTTCGGAAAAAATTCAATATAAGAAAATATGGTTGCAGAATTATTCTGAGTAATCTATTAAATCGATTTTAATAAATTTTGCTGGGATGTTTTATTATGTTATGAAACCTTTGAAATCCTATTAATCTGTCAACGTCGCGTACTGTTCACCTGTACTTACATAGTCTCTTAAAATTACTTTGTTAGCGTACTTGATGAAACATAACCTACTAATGAATTGCGTCATCCGTATCCTATCGTACAAAGAAAGTACAGTGGGTGATCAAATTATACTTTGATCTTATTATAATATATATATTATGATACTTATCTATATTATGATACTTATTATAAAATACTTTTTGTTTAATAATGGTATGCAATTAAGCTATAAAACATATTTTTGAGCTTAATTCTATTTTTTTGTGATTGAGAACCTTACATAAATTTGTATGATGATTTAGAGCCTCAATTACATAAAAACACTTAAAATTATGCCTTAAGGCTAATACTTGGTCTTCTTGTGGTGCCTATCCGCTACAGATGTTGGCAACTAGCATGGCAAATTCTACCTTTATTGACCGCAGCTCGAAATAGTCCTGAAGTAGTCAAGGAAAACCATTTTCGTAAATTCGCGAGCTATAATATTCTTCTTCTTCCTGGTCCCCTCTTTCCGTAGACCTTTCCCTGTAATATAAGTTGCAGCAGGTTATATCTATGGTCGTTTCGCATTATACGTCCAAGATATTCTAGCTTGCGCTGTTTCACTGTGGATATAATTTCACATATCTTATCCATCCGACGTAGAACCTCAATGTTTGTTATTCGGTCCACCCAGGAGATCCTCAGTATCCGTCTATAACACCACATCTATTAAACCACATACGTGGTAGTGTCACCATTTGCAGAAATAACTACCTGGCGCTTTCTTGGCATACTTTCTACGCATTTCTTGTAATTTTGCTGAATTGTTTCACTCCTGTGCCATACTGCTATTACGCGCTCGATCAATTGACGCTTTTTGGTTATAATTTCATTAGAAATTTCTTTCTTTATAAGCTTCCAAAGATTTTCTATTGGATTTAAATCTGACCAATTGCCAGGCCACGCAAGCACCTTTATCTGGTTATCAGCAAAAGTAATTTTTGCTGATAGTTTTTGCCTTGTGACAAGGCTCCGAGTATTGCATAAACATGAAACTCTTTTTCGGGAACCACTCCTGGACCTGGGCAAGCATTTCTGTTTGCAGTACTCTCAAGTACTAGTCCTGCCGCATTGTTCCTTCGATAATGTAGAGTCTACCAGGTCCTTGACTGCTTATGATAGATCAGATCATGATGCTCAGGGGGTTCTTTACCGACCATACAATACAATCCGCTTTTTATTTTCACCCAGGTCTTCTCTTTACAAATTCAGTTCTATTTATGATGATCTGCACGGTAGATTCATCCGAAAACAAACCTGGAATAATATTATTATTTTGAAATCGTGGACAAATTGATCAACTGTAAACTACATAAAAAAAACACTGTTAAGTAATGTTATTTTCCTATTCCAATCATCAATGGTTAAATCATTATGAACTTTAGCCCATTGAAGCCTTTTTTTCTACATAGCTGGTGTGAGTAGCGGCTTTTTTGCAGGGCGATAGGTAACCCCAGATCCTTTATTCGCTGACGAGCTGCGATTCGTAACATATTGATGATAGACTCCTGCATCATGTTCGTTTAAAATCTTTCGGTTTTCGGAGGTTGTTTTTTGTTTGTCAAGGCAATATCTCAAATTTTTCTTTCATCTCGTGGTGTTGTAATTTTTTTTTCGACCACATTTTTGTTTCCGCCGTGGTGGGGTCAAATTCAAATTTTCAAATTTCCGTCAAGTTTTTTTTTCATACGATCCACAGTTCCCCTTGAAACTTTAGAAATTGATGCTATTTTTCTGTTGGAGTGAATAGTGTTCAATAATAAAGTTTTCTTAGTGAGATGTCTTTGGCTTTTCCCATGATGTTCTGGTACCACTGGTGAAACGAATATGTAATGTTTGCTTAATTCACAAAAAATAGTATACGACGGTCAGAATATTACTAGAAAGCAATAAAAACTATTTATGATAACTCTAAACACAAAAATACAAAACAATGTGCACACGAGTTGCAAGCTAACCTGGACAGCACTGACAAACAATGGCATCTGAGTCACGTATTGCCACGTCCGCTGTGTTGCTACGTTTGCCAAACTATTTATTGTACTTTCATAAAGTGTTACAAGATAATCAAATGGGAACAACTGGATTAATATATTTTACAGCTCAGTTATATACCCTTTTTGTAAAAAAATTGAATTCACTGTAATAACTGTAATAGCTGTAGTAACTGAAATCACCCACTGTAATAACAAATTATACAAAATTCAAAGTTTTGATTTACTTACCCAAAATTCCGACTTTAAGGTTTACATTGAGCGGAAGGATAAGAAGGGCAAGTAACGGCAGTATGAGATTTCCTAAGCTGAAGATAGCGCCCAAAACCATTTGCACTCTAGCCCTCTGTTTAGCACAGTGAAATTCAGATAGATATGCCGTTAGTGCCGCAAAAGGTCCATTAATACTGTAAATTTTAAAGAGAAAGTTAAAATTATATTGTTATTTCATATTCAGACACTCAACAACAGCTATTGCAGTCAAAAGTTTTATCGTGAATAAAACTTTTGTAAAAAATAATTCTTCTTGCTGTCGTTTCTTCATGGTGCCCCCTTGCTGGCTAATAATTGCATATCTAAATTAAAAATACTTACATAAATCCTCCAAGAAATTTAGCTACCATCAGCAGTTGAAAGTTTTGCGAGAGCGCTGCTATCATTAAGAATAATCCATCGAGTAAAAATCCAATGATTAAAAGTTTTCTTCGGCCTAAGGTGTCACAAAGGAATCCCCAAACGAACGCACTTGATATCATACCTTTAATTAGAAAATTTATTTAAATAATTTACATGATAAGGAGATGTAAACAAAATATTGGTCTGTTTATAATATCCAGTTACCAGTTGGTATCTACTTTAAATCAAAATTTCAATTGACACATCGTTTATTTTTACATTTCGATTTACCTTTCCGAAATCGTTTTTAAAATTCGAAGAAAATTGTGATAAATTGACATTAAATACAGGGCTAGTCAAAATTCCGTTCCTCCCTTGTATCTTTTGTACGGTTATTGTTATAATAGTGAAATTTGGAAGGAGGTAATAAAAAGAATTTAACAATAGAATAGAAAACATCGGAGAACAACTAGAAGATCCAGAAGAACTATGAAGTGAATTTTAAAACCAACTTAACGAAATCTACATAAACAATGATTATAGAACAAACTTCTTCTTCTTCTGGTTCCTATCCGTTTCGGATGTTGGAAATCTTATTGGCAATCATAACCTTGCTCGCTGCGGCTCGAAACAGCTCCGTTGAGGTTTTCTTAAACCATGTTCTTAAATTCCGCAGCCATGATATTCTCCTTCTACCGGGTCCTCGCTTACCTTTGACTTTACCTTGCAATATAGACTGTAGCAGGGAGTAACGGTGCTCATTTCTCATAAGGTGTCCCAGATATTGCAATTTTATGCGTTTGATTGTAAACACAATCTCTGGTTCCTTCTTCATTTTTCCTAGAACTTCCTTGTTCGTGATCCTTGCTGTCCATGATATTCTCAGCATTCTTCTATAAAGCCACATCTCAAATGCTTCAAGTTTTTTAATAGTGGTGTCTGTAAGCGTCCATGCCTCCGCCCTTTACAACAACACAGAGAAAACATAGCATCTCAAATGTCTCATTTTTGTATCAAGGGATATGTTGTGACTTTTGAGATGGCGCTCATTTTGTTAAAGACCGTTCTTGCCTTTCCCATGCGGCACTTTATTTCCTGTAAATTGCTCCACTGTTCGTTAATAATAGTTCCTAGGTAACAATACTGTTTTACTCGCTCTATCTGCGTCCCATTAATGTATAGATGAGCCCCGTTTATATTAACAATTAAGAACAAACTTAATCAAGGAAAATAAATGGATGACAGACGACATCTTGAAATTAATGGAACAATGTCGACTGATAAAATCTAATGTAACAGAATATAGACACCGGTAGAGGAGAATAAAAAAGGAGATCAAATATATAATATAATAAGATAAAGATAATTTTTATAGTTTTAAATATGAATTTTAAATCCATAATATCTTTTGATTTTAATAATGATTAACTTTTGACAAACTATCATTTCTATATAGCAATGTTTCTAAATTATCTAGCTTTTCAATAAATATATCTTGTTTTTTTTATTAATATTAGAATATTTCAGTTTTAAAAAAGTAATTACCATTTGTATTAAAGTTATATCCTTACTTTTACTTATTTGCCTATGATAAGTGCATAAATAAGAATTGTTTCTCGACTTGCTTGGGTGAATAATGATAAAATTTTGTTAAATTTGATTGGTCACCTTATTCATCCCCCAAGCAAGGTCTCTCATTTTGGTTTCACCATTTTCTAAAGCAAGGTGTGTTTTTCTTCATTTTAGTCAACCTCCGGGATACATTTCTCAGGTGCGGGTCAAATTTTATTACCATCCAGAAGACCAACCGGCCTGAGAATGGAACCATTATTCCAATAGGAGAGTTGACTTCGAGACAAGGAAATCCAAAACTAACCACATGGCTTGCTAACAACCAGAGCAGAAAAGACCAGGAAAAAACTTAGGATTTGGTGACAAAAATTCTTCTTTCATATACCTAATGTAACACTGTAGCAAGAAGTCGAATAATTTTTATTTAAATTCAATACGATATTAAACATTTATTTTTCTGTTTTTTTTTATATTTCAATAAACATGTGTTAATTTAACTGTGTATTGTTTCTTCTTTTTACTTGTTTGTGTATGTTGCTCCAGAGTAGGCCATATTCACGTCCTGAGTGAGCTAGCCAGGGAGTGTTTCGTATAACGTCTAATGTAGCAATTTTGTAATTGATGCATTAGGGGTTATGACGGTAAAAATTGGTCCCAACGGGAAACGATTTGTCACTCCAACGTTGTCAGTGATGTTAGTCAGGTTGTAGCAGCAAACTAAGGTTTGCGGTTACAGGTTGACAACAGCAGCTCAACGTTGGGATGTTACAAATTGAGCCTCGAAGGGTTACAAATTGGCACCCAATGAATATTTGTTGGCACGTCATAGATTGACGTCCAATGAATGTTCGTTGGAACGTTACAAACGAAAGAAAAATGGATGAGAGAAAGGTGCGACGAAATGGAGGATGTAATATCTAAACACGACTTATTTAATGTGCATAAAAAACTATAAGAAATGAGTAATATATTTAAAAAACGAGTTCCCTCTGTACTTGTTGACAATAATATCAAAATTATTGTAACTGAGCACGAAATAAGAAAAGAATGGCAGCTGTGTATATATCAGAGTTGTTTGAAGATGACAGGAATAATATTGCCGAATTCTACCAAAATTGTACTGACGGCCCAGAAATAATGAGCCACACTCTTAAAATTTTCCTGAGAATACTTCACAACAGAATAAGACGCAAATGCGAAGAAGATCTTGAAGATACCCAATTTGGTTTTAGAAAAGCTATGGGAACCAGGGAGGCACTTTTTGCGCTTAACGTCATATTACAAGAATGCCGTGACCAAAGAAAAGATGTATTTGCATGTTTCGTGGACTTAGAAAAGGCATTAGATAAAGTACAGCATGTAAAATAATGCAAATACTGAAAAATATCGGAATCGATGACAAGGATATTCGTGTTATTAAAAAGTACATTAAAATGAGTTTAAACTCAAATAAAATAAGGTTGGTTGAATAGGTATTGTCAATACCTTTCAAACGAAGTATCACTTGCCATAAGAACCTATTTAAAATTATCTGTCACACTGGCGCTGTAATGTCATATGTCACTTTAAGATCACTTGTTATGAATAATTAAGATGTCTACGTCTGTGTATTACCTCCCTCTAAATTTCACTATTACAAGTATAACCGTCCAAAAGATACGAGGGGGGAACGGACTTTTGACTAGCACTGTATAATAAATAACAAAGAAATACCACAAAAAAGTAGTTTAGAAATTGTTAGTTTTACATACCTGCATAAGTAACAGCATTAAGCCAGCCCTTGTGGTTTAGTGTGAGCTGAAGATCACATTCTGCCGCTGGAAAAACGTATGACATCGTGGTGGTTTCGAAGACGAACGACCATCCTGCTGCTGTTGATATGATGTATAGGATGATGTTGAATTTACCATAACCAGAAGCTGAAATAGCACGTTCAAAGTCTGCTGGTTCTGCATCTGTTTTAAAAATCATACAATTATTTACATAAGCACTATTGACGATGAACGATTAAGATTAAGAAAAAATTATTGTCTATGGAAGATTCTACCTAGGTAATGGTTGCGATACTGACCGTGTATAACAACTGCCTCCAGCTTCGAAAACGAATGGATCTTGGTTCTTGCGGGCATTTTTGAAAAAATTGTGGATAACTAGATCCATCCCTTCTATTCAGGGATGGCGTGTAAGCAAAAACTCTTTGTTGGTTTTTGTTTAAAAAAAATTTTTTCCGTTAAAAGCTCAAACTGAAATCCAGCAGCGATGCCGAGCAGTTACTGATCTTGGAAGAGGCGAAATCGATAACAGCAGCTGGCGGATTCACCCGCTGACGTTCCGCGCATGGGAAACCTATAAAACGGGACAGTGGAAAGTTACCAGGAGAAAACGCATTGTGGGAATTGGGACGATGCGGAAATAACTAGATTTACCCCAGTCTATCTGTGAAAAATTCATCGATTTTACGTAAATTTATAAGATTTCTGCAGTTTCTAAATGGTATATAAGGGATAGCTGATGGAAAATCCTTGAAAATGTACAGATGATTTTATTTTGTTTTTTAAATAATTATGAGAAGAGAAAAAACTGTTTTTTGCATATAAAACGTTTCTTATACATTTTAGACAAAAATGGTTAAAATGAAAGTGGTAGATCTTAAAAAGTTCTTTACTTTTGCTAGTTTATAATTTAACATACATAAATAATTGGCTGAAATAATAGCAAAAAACCCTTCTTGAACGTCAACAACTTCGATTTTGGAATAATAATGTAATAGAAATACTTGAAATAATTGCAATTAATGAGTTATTGAAAGATTATAATAGAAATATGCTTTATTGTCACTAAAAATTGTACAATTTTATGGACAAAGCTTACAAAAAGTAAAAAAAAAAATAACAATAACAATTAAAATTTACTAAAATTATATAAATCGTCAATATCACAAAACAAAAGATAATAAAATATACTTCTTCAGGTTCCTTCTCCTATCGAAGGTTGGAAATCATCATCGCTATTTTAATTTTATTGGCCGCGCTTCTGAATAATTCTAATGAGCTGCAACCGAACCACTCTCTCAAATTTCTTAACCAGGACATTTTGCGTCGTCCTGGGTTTCTCTTCCTTTGTATCTTCCCTTGCATAATTAACCTAAGTAATACGTACTTCTCGCCCCTCTTTATATGACCTTAGATATTGAATCTTTCTAATTTTAACAGTTTTTATGACTTCACATTATTTCTACATTCTTTTTAACACCTCTATATTAGTTACTTTTTCAGTCCACGATATTCTGTGGATTCTCCTGTAGCACCACATATCAAAGGAGTTTAATTTTTTGATTTCAAACTGTTTTATTGTACTTGCTTCCATGACGTATAGTAAAGTAGAAAAAACGTAACAACGTAGCATTCTTTTGTGGATCTCCAGATTAAGGTTACGGTTGCAAAGCAAGTTCTTCAATTTTATAAACGTGTTTCTTGTCATTTCTATTCTAGATCTGATCTAGACTTTTGTTTGATCTCCATCTTAGGTTAGCCATGTTCCTAAATATTTATATGTTGTTGAATTGTTTTTTGCAAATTCCAATGCTTCTAAATTTTTATAGCTGACATTCTCGTCTAAAATTAGCAGGGCTTTGTGTTTGGTGTTCGGTCGAACATGTTTAATAAAGTGTTCCATCCAGTTTAAAAATAGTTCCCCGGTCATGTAACCTGATTCATTGTTAACATTAAGTCCCAAGGGCGCTCCGTCGTATAATGTTGGATTGAATTTCTTCCAAGGAAAAATTATAGCAGGTGGAATATAAGTTCCCCTTGAACTCATGCACGCTAGTACCACAGAATAATAAACAATCAGAATGCCCACTCTCCATGGAAAATTAAGTACGCGCATCTCGTTCGCGCAGACGTTCCGCCATGTTTTAGAGGGAACCAGTGTTGTTTATGTGGTGTACATAGAAAAATTAACCCGGTTTTATTGACTTACGGCAATCATAGACATACTATACAATTATATTAACATTGTTAAATATAATAACATAAATATAATATAATTAAACATAAATATAAACAATTACATAACCTCATAAACATATGTCTGTGTTATGTGTTTCCTTCTAAAACATGGCGCGCGTGCTGAAAAACTTCAAAGGCGGCATCTGAGAGTGGGCATTCTGATTTTTTATTATTCTATGCTAGTACAGTCGAATGTACTCCCCTTTCCCCGCTGTTGATGGTACCAACTTGTTTCTTTTCTTTTAGCGCAAAAATTTTAGAAGTATTTTGTAGTTGTCAACCCTGACTCGTCCATGTTAAAAATCATACTTTTGTCGATTTCTTCATTATTTATTACGTTACATAGATTTTTAAAAAAGGTCTTTACTTGTGATTTGTTAAAACTTTCAGCGCGTGCCGTTGATGTTGCCACTGGCTAACGTAAAGATATATTCGGGTGCCTTAGTCGAAAAGAGCGTAGCCAACCTTTGCCTGCAATATTTTCGTCTTATTGATGTTTTAACTTCATTCTCACTGCAAATTCATATGCCATTCGTTAAGCCAAAAAATCTGGCTTCCAGTGCTAGCGTATGCTCCACTAGAGCCTCTTCTAGTTCTCGATTTAAGGTTGTTCCATATCTGCTAAGATGCTTTCTTGTACCAACTGCTATTTTATTTCGATTTATGGCACGGCGGCGAAGTGTTGTTTGAGGCACTTGGTAATGCCTGCTAGCCTTTAACCAACCCATGCGCTTTTCCGCTACAGGCTGCAACCCTCGCTCCACGTTCTTCTCATTCCATGACCCTCCATTGGTATTTCTTTTATAATTAGAAACTATCTGTAAATAAAAACAGCAATTGCAAATTTTAGGTCATGATGGCGAAGAGCGGATCTATGGGGGCTGGGGGGAGCAATGGGGATAATTACTTTCCCCAAACAGATCCCATCATAATTTAAATGAATAGAAAAAACTGGATAAAAATACTATAGGTAAGAGCTTAAAAATATACTAAAAAAATATATACGTACCCATGTTTTTACTTCTATATTAATAGTAAGTACCCAAAACATTAGTTGAGAATTTTATTTTAAAGGAGTTTTGGGTAAAAGTTGGGCCCACTCTAAGTTTTTTTACCCTCTCTTAGAAATAGTTCATAGATCCGTCCTTTAGAGGGCAAGATGATACAGCTATATCTCAACTTGCCCACTAGCGCGTCCACGTGTGATTATAACTTGAGAACATGGTCGGTTAAAATATAACCTATATCCTAAGCAGTTGCAATATCCTAAGGTAAAGCTTAGGAACACCCTTTTTATCTCCAAAATAAATCATGACCAGAAATGCTACGATGGCATACATATATAACGAAACATAGTACTTACATTCGACCAACACGCAACAATGACACAAAAATGTAGATATTTTTTTAAACGTACGGAGCATCCACACCCAAAGACTATCAAACGATTCTGAGAAGGAGTAGATTAGTAGATTGTAATTGTACCTAACGAGCGTGTGAACTGAACGAATAATGGACTAGTTTTCGTGGTGGAGGCAATATGTCGTCTTGCCCGGCTATGTCAACTTGCCCATCCTTCCCCAGTTCATTTAGATTTTCAGGGTTTGGAAGAGAAAATGCTTGAGCTGTGTTAGTTTTATTTCGAAAATCGTTTATTATGGACCAAGTTTCTCTTGCAACATTTTTAGAGCTTCCCAGATAATGCTGATGGTACATTTTTTAGCTGTTATGATAAGTTTTAGATAGGTTCCTCTGTACTTAGTATTGTTCTGAGATATATTCAGCGACAAAGACGTTGGTAGTATGTAAATTTCTTGATGTAGTCCAGGGTTTATGATGTTTTGACTTAATTGTTATTAAAGGAAAGGTCTTATTCGTAGTGTCTAATTCTTTCGTAAAGACTATTACAATACATTGCTTTCGATAAGTACAAATTGTTATCATTTTAGTTATAAGTTAAGGTTGTCTTAAAATTAAATTCTGAAATAAAGAAAAGAAAGCCAAGTATATTTATTGCTTATCTATTTATTGAATAATACTACAGTTCTACAGATGGTAATTAAGGTAATATCAACTGGTGGTACGCAATTCTCCCAAATATCGCTGAAGCTATGGAACGACCAATAGAACGGACAGTTTCGCTAATGGCAGGTCCGAATTCTTTTAGCACAGTTTCCCAATTTTCGTTAAGAAATTTGTTCATCTGGTCACCTGCAACAAATAAATACAGAGTAAATAAACGACGATAAGAAAGGATGATCGTCTGCTGGATTACCTAGAACCAACACTTTCAGTATTTGTAACGCCATCCGTTTTCAAGATACAGGGCGTTGAAGAAAAAAAAATTTACGCATTTTTTACGATTTTGCCGAAACTACTGGCAACATTGTAATGAAATTTTATACGAATATGTTTTAGAAGCTGATACATCCCATGAAGTTGTTTTTATATCTGATTCTCATAGCGGGCGCTAGTTACACGGATCGTACTAAGTATTAGTCAATATAACTTTTTTAAGAGTATAATTATTAATCAAAATTTCAAGTAAACTTAAACATCATTCAATTTTACACGAAAAAGGTACTCTTGGTAAAACTCGATACTGTGTACCGTTTTCGGAATATTTTGATTTGAAAATCATGAAGTAATAAGTGATACTGGTATAAAATAGTTAGTAATTAAACAAAACTCACAAGAAGAAAATTAAATTAATGACTAAGAACATAAAATAAAATTCATTTACAGTAAGTGTTCAAAATGCCCTCCGTTTTCGCGAATACACAAGTCTATTCTTTTTTCTAAAGATTCCATTAACCTTCTAAAACGGTAGGGTATCAGCTATGATGTCATTAAATTGACGTTGAATTCTTTCTTCCAATTCTTGGCGTGAATTTACCTCTGACTTTTTCCTTAATACACGATCAAACTGCGTAGTCCAAAGGGTTAAAATCGCATGACCGAGGAGGTCAATGAGTCGGAGCTTCTGCACCTCTACCAATCCATCGATTCGGAAAATGATTACTCAACCAATTACGACACCTTCTATCAAAGTGTGATGGAGCTCCATCGTGCATAAAAAATAAAGATCTTCGCTCGTTTAGCATTAAATCTTCTAATATCTCGAATAAAGAATTTTTTAAAAAATCAAGATACATATCACCATTTAAATTTCCAGGTAGAATATGATAACTTATTAATTTTTTACCTAAAGTTGCTGCCCAAACATTAACTTTAAATAAGTGTTGGTAATGTGATACCCTTTTGACTCGTGGATTCTCATCACACCAGTAGTGTGTATTATAGGAGTTAAACATACCTTGTCGCGTAAAAGTTGCCTCGTCTGTAAAAAGAATGCATTTAAAAAAATTTGGATTGTGCTTTGTTGCAATGTTTCACAAAAATTCACTCTAACCGGTAGATCATCTGGCAAGAGCTCTTGGATTTGTCTGTAATGATAAGGATGCAATTGCTGTTCTTTCAGTATCCGCCAAGTACTTGAAGAAGAAGTATTTGTTTGTCTTGCTGTATTCCTTACGCTAACTGTTGGACCTTGACCAAGTAAATTTAAAATATTATTTTCTTTATTAATTGTTCTTGTTGTCCTTGGTCTACCAGAATTTATTTTATTTGGTCTCACATTCCCAGTTTCTCGACAACGTCGTTCAACGGCTCTAAATGTTTTTTTTACTTGGTAAGTTTCTTCTAGAAAACTTTTCTGCATAACGTGTCACAGCTGCACTAGAACATCCTAAAGATTCGCCTAAGATTAATATTCAACATTTGAGTATATTTTGATTTGATTTTACAAATAACAAGGTTTCAAAACTCTAATTATTGTTGATTTATCGTCATAACAATCAATAAATGTCAGATTTCCATGGCACACTTTGAGAAAATAGATGTATACCTATTCGAACTTTATCATTACTACCAGCATCAATTATTACTTCAGAATTTTCAAATCAAAATATTCCGAAAACGGTACACAGTATCGAGTTTTACCAAGAGTACCTTTTTCGGGTAAAATTGAATAATGTTTAAGTTTACTTGAAATTTTGATTAATAATTATACTCTAAAAAAGTTATATTGACTAATATTTTAGTACGATCCGTGTAACTAGCGCCTCTATGAGAATCATATATAAATACAAATTCATGGGATGTATCAGCTTCCAAAACATATTCGTATAAAATTGCATTACAATGTTGCCAGTAGTTTCGGCAAAATCGTAAAAAATGCGTAATTTTTTTTTTCTTCAACGCCCTGTATCTTGAAAACGGATGGCGTTACAAAACTTTTTTACTAAGCAAACCCCAATTATTTTTCAATTTTTTACCTACCCTAGAGACGGGATTACCTTTTTTTGAAACACCCTGTATAGAGTAAAACATTTAAGAAAATTGAATCTTTTCAACCTCCAATAGAAGCAATTTTAATTTCTTATTATGTTAGATTCAAAATAATTTCCGAAAAAAGTTAAAAAATTAACACAATTTTACTACGAAAATAGTTAAAGTAGTTGATTACTAACCCAATTCTTTGTCCCCGTTAAAGAGATTATCCAGGTGAACTTTTAAGTCTCTTACAACGAAGTCCAAAGTGTCTTTATCTGCCAAATCAAAGTAGTCTTCTCCGCCAACATTATGCAGAATATAGTCTGCATTGTATTCATATTCACCATCATCTGAAACAAAATTTGGTATAGGCAAACGAAACGAAAGAGTTTTTCGTAACTAATAAATGAGAAGAAAAAATATTTACATGCTACAATGTTAAAGTCTCCATTTCCTTGAATTTTCAGCACCATAACTTTTCCGTCAATGTCATATTTTCCTAGAAGCTTTAATTCTGGGATTTTAATTTTGATTGAAAGTTTTTTGGCTTTGGTATCGATTCTGGAACAAAAATACAATTAAATAATAAAGTTGACAAATACTCTTATAACAAAGATTGAGATTGCCTTACTAGAGAGTGATGGATGTCGAAGAAAGTTGGGCAAAAATTAAGTCTAATCTTGCTCCGCTCATGCGTTAAAATATCTCAATTGCTAATCGGTTAAATAACTATTAAAATAAAGACTAAATAAAATAAGTGTTAAAAGATTGTAATAATAAATTAAAGACAGAAAATAAATAAAAAATTACGTTACAATATCAAGTGCTAATAAATTATGCGATCTGTATAAATATCCGCGATTATACTCACTTGACTTTGATTAATTCCGTTGTATTCAGTCCGTAGGTTTGTACATCTTTCAAAAATATTCTGAGTCCCTCTCCGGCATTAACGTTGATTTGTGGAATTAGCAGTGGAACCATATTAGGTATACCAAATTTCCGGTCACCTTTTAGAATATGTGGCAGAGCTTCTTTTCCATGTTCTAGACAACATTTCTCAAAATCTGGATCACTCACCGAACATGGTTTTATATAAGAAGCTGAAATTAAAACAAAATTAATGCACATCTATGTCTTTCTCTCATAAAATTTCAATTTTATCTTGGTATAAATGGCAAGGTTGCTGGACCTGACAATGCCTATGCTGACCTTATAAAGTTATTTATCACTTCCGAACCGTGAAAAGCTAAATGAATACTTTGTTAATGTGAGTAAAAAATTTTGAAATAACAAGATCCCATGTCCTATCTCCCAAATACAAAAAAAAACAGTATCGAATTCAATCTTTATAAAACTAGGTAATACATCTGAACTGATCCAAACAATCAGTACCTAGTATTAAAAGCAAATCTCCCTGTAGTACTGATAGACTATCAATGAAAAATTTCTTAAATTTCCTAAAAAATGTGATGCAAGTTCTATTTATTTTTAAGCACAACAGACCGTTAAGGCCTAGGGCATTTTTTTACAACATAATCCTAATATTAACTAATTACGATTATTTTAAACACAACTTTAACTTAAATATGTATATATAACATTCTTAACTACTCTGAAGGACCTGGTGTACAATATTTCTCCATTCGCTTCTATTTTGTGCTTTTATTTTCCAGTCCCTCACCTTCGCGTGTTTAAGGTCTTCCTCCGCTTTACTAATCCACCTCGTTCTGGGTCTACCTCTTCTTTTGAGGCCGATTAGTTTTCTGGTTATTACTAGTTTAGGAATTCTGTTTGCTGCCATTCTTTCCATATGTCCCAACCTTCTGATTCTTTGTGACTTGACAAACTTGGTAATGGTAGGTTCTTTGTATAAAGCCATTAATTCATTGTTGGTTCTTTTCTCCCAACCATCTTGTCTTCCGTCCTCCGAATATGCGTCTCAATATTTTCGTTTTCCATCTTTCCACAGTATCCTCTTCCTTCTTATTTAATGTTCATGTCTCACCGGCATATGTTACTGTGGGTCGAATTACTATTTTATATATTCTGAGTATTTCTTGTCTAGAAACGTATTTTGAGTTCAGTAGGACTAATTTTTATTCACTTTTGCTATTCTGGCTTCGAGCTCCCATTTCTCTTTTCCATTTTCTTCGAAAACTACACTCAGGTATTCAAATTTGTCCACCCTTTTAAAACTATAGCTTTTACCACTTACAGACCTCACATTAAAGTCTTCTTTTTTCCCTTCTGTCCCTCCCATGATCATATATTTGATTTGTCTTTATTTAGTTCCAATTCGAATTTCGGTGCTTCTTCGATGATTTTCTTCACAACTCTTCTTAATTCTTTCTCGGTTTTTGCCAGGATCGTTAGATCGTCAGCAAATGCCAAGCACTGGTGCTCATATTTCATGATCGTTTCTTCCACCTTCATGCTGCATTTTCTGATTACAGTTTCTAACACTAAGTTTAATAATGTAGTGGAAAAGGAAATATTCATTATTATTCACTAAATATTAAGAAAACAAAATGTATGATAATCTCTAAGAAGAAAAAGCATTTTTTTAAGAATTAATGTGAATGGTCAACCAATAGAACGAGTAAACACGTACGCCCATCTTAGTACGAACGTCAATGTAAATTAGGATTATTTCCTAGAAATAAATGTAGAATAGAGAAAGCAATATCTGCATTTCAAAAAATGGCTAAGCTATTTAAATGTTATGGTTTATCAGTGCCCATAAAAATTAGGTTACTACGATGGTATACCTTTTCTTCGATGGTAAAGAAACCAGATTGATTATATATTAATTGACAAACGTTATAGAAATGGAATCAGAAGAGTTAAAACATATCCCGGGGCGGACATCGGTTTCGATCACAATCCTGTTGTTGGTAAAATGTCAATTAAACTAAAGAAAATCAAATACAGAGAGAAGATAAAACCTAGTCTTGAAAAACTTAAAGATCCAATAGTATAGGCAGAAATAAAGAAAACACTCAATGATACACTCAAAAAAAAGTTCAGTGAAGCACCCGCGGAAGCAGAAGAAACAATAGAAAGTATTTGGTACACCTTCAAAACAACAATCATAACTATACAAAGAGAACAACTACAAGACAACATCAGAAAAACATGGATGGACATAAGGAGATCTTAGAAAAATCGCAATGAAGAAAAATATAAAGAAACCCAGAGAATCATCCAAAAGAAAATCAGGAAAGCCAAATAAGAATGGATGAGCAGCAACTGTGAGGAATTGGGAGATTTACTAAAAAAGCATGACTACTTTAATGCTTACAAAAAGATTGAGGGAGTCACAAACATGAAGAAAAAATCACTACAACAACCTTAGTAGATATTGTTCTGAAGCTATTTTCTTGTGGCATTGTAAATTAATTACTATTTATAACTGGGAATAAGCCACAATTAAAGATAAAAATACGTTTATTGACGTTTCAATTTCCAATTCGGAAATTTCCGAATTGGAAATTGAAACGTCAATAAACGTATTTTTATCTTTAATTGTGGCTTATTCCCAGTTATAAATAGTAATTAACCTTAGTAGATGATAACAACAAATAGTATCTAGTCCAAAAAATGTAGGAGATATGTGGGAAAAATACTTCAAAGATCTGTTTGGTGACGAGAGAACAGAACCACAAATGAATATAGTACAAGAAATAATACTTGATATATTAACATCGGAAGTTACAAAAACAATCAATACGGCAAAGCCACAAAAAGCCTCAGGTCTAGATGAAATATATGTAGAGATCATAAAGCTTATCAATGAAGAAAATCTTCAGACGTTAACACTATTATTTAACAAAATATGTACCACTGGAATCTTCCTAAAAGACTGGCTTAGATCTACATTTATATCTATACCCAAGAAAAATAAAGCAAATAGATGTTCATAGTTCAGATTAATTAGCCTGATGAGCCATTTTCTGAAAATTTTATTCAAAATTGTACATCAACGAATATATAGAGAATGCGAAAGTAACCTGAGCGACAATCAATTTGGTTTCGTATGAGGCTTGGTACAAGGGAGGCATTATTTGACCTCCAGATATTACTACAAAAATGCCGAGATCAGCGAAAATATGAGTTTCACTGTTTTATCGACTAAGAAAAAGCGTTTGATGGAGTAAAACACACAGAACTCATAGAAACCCAACACAACATGGTATAGACCATAACACTGTAGCACTTATTAAAAAACTATATTGGGATCAAATGACGTCGATCAAAATAGACAATAGTCTGACAACAGAATTACCAATAAAAAGAGAAGTTCGTTAGGGCTGTGTACTTTCTCCACCGTTATTTAATATATATTTCGAAAAGATCTTTCAAAATGCCCTCGAAAATATTGACTTTTGAATGTCATAACCAGAGAGGGAGATAGCTTGGGACTAAATATAAACACAAATAAAACAAAAGTAATGGCTGTTACACTTGCACCAAATGTCGACATTAATATTCGTATCTATAACAAACATATAGAACCAGTACAAAGATTTCAGTAACTTGGTTGCTGGATAACAAACGATCTTGACCACGAGGTCGAAATACGTGCTCGTATAGAATATGCTAGGTCCGCATTTCAACGAATGAAAAAATTCCTAATAAAGTCTACGTTATCGTTGGATATCCGATACCAATTTGTAAAAACGTTTTATTTATTCCATATTGCTATACGGAGTGGAAACATGGACTCTCGGAATTACAAGTATGAGGCGTATAGAAGTCTTTGAGATGTGGGTTTTTCGAAGGAAGTTGAAGATCTCTTGGACGGAGCACGTGACCAACAATGAGATGCTAAGAAGAATGGGTACCGAGAGAGAACTCCTAAATATTGTAAAATACAGAAAAACGAGTTATCTGGGACATTTTACAGAGGAGAAAAGTACAACTTCCTGCGACTTATAATGGAAGGGAAAAAATGCTTCTGGTTGAAGAATGTAAGAGACTGGACATGGACACACATTCGATACTAAGAACAGCTCAAGATAGAGAGCAATTTGCTGTAGTTATAGCCAACCTTCAGTAATGGAAAAGGCACCTTAAAGAAGATACCTTTAATACACTGTTGTACGGAGTTGAGTCGTGGACTCTCACAAACGCCACCTGCAAGAAAATTGAGACTTTCGAAATGTGGCTTTATCCTTGAATTCTAAAGATATCCTATACCAACCACATTATTAACCAGGGCGTTTTATTAAGAATGCAAAAAGGAAAATAGTTGTTGTTTTTTATAATAGCTTTGGCAGTTTGCCATACAGCCAGTTACATGATCTTTTAATTTCATTAAGCGCAGTTAGAATTATTTGCAATTAAATAAACTAAAATAGATAAATTTAAAGTTGAGAGGTCAGTACAAAAATTAATGAAAAGAAAAGAAAAAATATATTACATACACATATTTATCCATAAACACATACAATTGAAGGGGTGAGTGGATGAAGGGAGTAAGTGACATTTTTTAAGAAAATGAGTTATTCGCATGGATGAAGGTGGTAAGTGCTAACTTAAATTTTCCACTTATCCCCAGCCTTCTATGATTTAAAATAATTGAGATAGCCAGCGTATGAAGGAGGTAATTGACCATACTACTTTAAATATCTAGTGAATGAAGGAGGTAAGTAACAAGATAAAGTACTTACCTCCTTCATCCATACCACAGAGAATAAAAATTGTGACATACCTCCTTCATGTATTCGTCAGCTGACATCGGATGACAACAAATTAAAGTTTTTAGGTTATGTGCAAGTGCAACACCCGCTACTGCTTGTGTTAGTGTTCTTAGCTGTTTTAGTTTATTTAATTAGTTATAAAGTGATTTATTATGACTAGTACTAGGGGAAAATTTTTGACAGACTTGGCTTTACAACAATTACAACAAGAATCCACTATTACAGAAGAAGTTGGTGATAATGAAACCAAGATATCAGGTAAATATTATTCTTTAGTAGTTTCAAGTATTTTGCAAAATATTAATTTTAATTGATTGATTTTCATTTATTTAAAGATAAGCCAAGTTTTTACATTACGTCTAGCCTACAATCTAAGTCTAAGCCTATGTAACTTGCAA